GTTAGTTAGTAGTTAGTAGTAGTTAGTAGTAGTTAGTTAGTTAGTAGTTAGTTAGTTAGTTAGTTAGTTAGTTAGTTAGTTAGTTAGTTAGTAGTAGTTAGTTTAGTAGTAGTTAGGTTAGTTAGTTAGTTAGTAGTAGTTAGTTAGTTAGTAGTAGTAGTAGTAGTTAGTTAGTAGTTTAGTTAGTAGTAGTTAGTTAGTAGTTAGTAGTTAGTTAGTAGTAGTAGTTAGTTAGTTAGTAGTAGTAGTTAGTTAGTTAGTAGTAGTAGTTAGTTAGTTAGTAGTAGTAGTTAGTTAGTAGTAGTAGTAGTTAGTTAGTTAGTAGTAGTAGTAGTTAGTTAGTTAGTAGTAGTAGTAGTTAGTTAGTTAGTAGTAGTAGTAGTTAGTTAGTTAGTAGTAGTAGTAGTTAGTTAGTTAGTAGTAGTAGTAGTTAGTTAGTTAGTAGTAGTTAGTTAGTAGTAGTAGTAGTAGTTAGTAGTTAGGGTTAGTTAGTAGTAGTAGTAGTAGTAGTTAGTTAGTTAGTAGTTAGTTAGTAGTAGTAGTAGTTAGTTAGTAGTAGTAGTAGTTAGTTAGTAGTAGTAGTAGTTAGTTAGTAGTAGTAGTAGTTAGTTAGTAGTAGTAGTAGTTAGTTAGTAGTAGTAGTAGTTAGTTAGTAGTAGTAGTAGTTAGTTAGTAGTAGTAGTAGTTAGTAGTTAGTTTAGTAGTAGTAGTAGTTAGTTAGTAGTAGTAGTTTTAGTAGTAGTTAGTTAGTAGTTAGTTAGTTAGTAGTTAGTAGTAGTAGTAGTTAGTTAGTTAGTTAGTAGTTAGTTAGTTAGTTAGTAGTTAGTTAGTTAGGTTAGTAGTAGTAGTTAGTTAGTTAGTTAGTTAGTAGTAGTTAGTAGTAGTTAGTAGTAGTTAGTTAGTTAGTAGTAGTTAGTTAGTTAGTAGTTAGTAGTAGTAGTAGTAGTTAGTTAGTAGTAGTAGTTAGTTAGTTAGTTAGTTAGTTAGTTAGGGTTAGTAGTTAGTAGTTAGTTAGTTAGTTAGTTAGTAGTTAGTTAGTTAGTTAGTTAGTAGTTAGTTAGTAGTAGTTAGTAGTAGTAGTTAGTAGTTAGTTAGTAGTTAGTTTTAGTTAGTTAGTTAGTTAGGTTAGTTAGTAGTTAGTTAGTAGTAGTAGTAGTTAGTTAGTTAGTAGTAGTAGTAGTTAGTTAGTTAGTAGTAGTAGTAGTTAGTTAGTAGTAGTAGTAGTTAGTTAGTAGTAGTAGTAGTTAGTTAGTAGTAGTAGTAGTTAGTTAGTAGTAGTAGTAGTTAGTTAGTTAGTAGTAGTAGTTAGTTAGTTAGTTAGTAGTAGTTAGTTAGTTAGTAGTAGTTAGTTAGTTAGTTAGTTAGTAGTTAGTTAGTAGTTAGTTAGTAGTAGTTAGTAGTAGTAGTGTTAGTAGTTAGTAGTAGTAGTTAGTAGTAGTTAGTTAGTAGTTAGTTAGGGTTAGTTAGTTAGTTAGTTAGTAGTAGTTAGTTAGTTAGTTAGGGTTAGTTAGTAGTAGTTAGTTAGTTAGTAGTTAGTAGTTAGTTAGTAGTAGTAGTAGTAGGTTAGTAGTTAGTAGTAGTAGTTAGTAGTAGTTAGTAGTTAGTAGTAGTTAGTAGTAGTTAGTAGTTAGTTAGTTAGTTAGTTAGTAGTAGTTAGTAGTTAGTTAGTTAGTTAGTTAGTTAGTTAGTTAGTTAGTTAGTTAGTTAGTTAGTTAGTTAGTTAGTTAGTTAGTTAGTAGTTAGTAGTAGTTAGTAGTTAGTAGTAGTAGTAGTAGTTAGTTATTTAGTTAGTAGTTAGGTTAGTTAGTAGTAGTAGTTAGTAGTAGTTAGTTAGTTAGTTAGTTAGTAGTTAGTTAGTTAGTTAGTAGTTAGTAGTAGTTAGTTTTAGTTAGTTAGTTAGTTAGTTAGTTAGTTAGTAGTAGTAGTTAGTTAGTTAGTAGTAGTAGTAGTTAGTTAGTTAGTTAGTTTAGTTAGTTAGTAGTTAGTTAGTTAGTTAGTATATCCTGCTGAATGTATCGGTTCACGACTCAAGTTCGTTTTGGTTTTTTATTCTTGTTTGGCTTCCTGCACATTGCTCTCGTCTGGCCACACCTCTTCAACATGTTGTTCTTGCAGTCTGTTCATTGTTGCAGATTCACTGTCATCACGTCTTAGACCATTCAGAATATCTGCTCGTCCGCCCTACACAGTAGCTTTACCTGCAAGTCTATCAGCTTGCTTATTTCTTATCACGCCTGCATACCCTGGCGCAAATATGAAACTAACATGCGCTTTACAGACTCTGCCCATCTCTATCTTCCTTGGCCTACTCACTGAGTCACGGAGAAAGGTCTGTGTTCCCAGCCATGTAATTGCTTTGGTCACTTCCATGACCTCCATTGTCAGACTACATGTGGTCAAAGCAACAGCACCAGATTCTTGCTTCATAATAATAACTCTAACGTGGGCCGTAAACGCCCACGAACTTCTCACCAGGCGAACCACAGACCCTAAAAAAAAAAAACAACAACTAAAGCCAGTGATGGTGTTCCTCCGGTCCATAGCACAATGACATGATAGTATTGAATAGACCATATGCTCAGCCGTCAGTATGATCAGTCGCTCGTTCTACCTTGTTTCATCAGAGGAAAGGTAACACGTTTGAAACATAGCATGCTACAGAAGCTGCTGGATCAGAAAACTAGTGCTCTGACAGTCCAAATGTCGGATCTTCATGCATGGACCAGCTGCCAACCAAGGTAAAAGGGTTTGGTATGTCCTGTCATAACAAGTTTTCAGGCTTTATTTCATCGTCTATGATAAGGTTATTATCCTCCCTAGTGATCACCCCGGCCCGAAACGTTTGCACGCCTGGGGTTAGTGATCACCCCGGCCCAAAGCTTTGGCACACCTGGGGTTAGTGATCACCCCGGCCCAAAGCTTTGGCACACCTGGGGTTAGTGATCACCCCGACCCAAAGCTTTGGCACACCTGGGGTTAGTGATCACCCCGACCCAAAGCTTTGGCACACCTTGGGTAAGTGATAATGCAAAGATATAGACCAGTATTGTACCAGCACAGTTTAGCGTAGAACTCTGGCAGTTCAGGGCCCCTGAGCCACGAAATCCTGGAGTCCCCGAGATGGGGTGAACAAAAAAAAAAAAGAAAAGTACCAGTGGCTCCCTTTATTCATAAAAACAAATTCTCTTTGAAAGTATGTGTTTATACGTTTCATTTTCACAAATATATAATTATATTTTTTTGCCAATCGAGTCATTATTATTATTGTTATTATTATTGTTATTATTATTGTTATTATTATTGTTCTTGTTATATTATTGTTATCATTATTTTTATGTTTTTAAACTAAGATTAAACCACTAAGTTAACAAGGTTGGATGAGACTACCCCCCCCCCCACCCTCCCCCAGTGCTATTCTTGGCACCATATTCCAGTGAAGCTAACTATCCCCAGATTATGTAGCCTTCATGCCCCACTTGCACACATCTTTAAATCGTAGTAGAGGTCGAACCCGACATCTTATATCCTCATGTAAACACCAGTTATAAAGATTTTATGAACTAAAAATATTGAAGATATGGTATTTGTTGACTGTTCAATTAAGAATCGACCTCACAGCACGCGGGACACTCCAATAACCACTCCTTCCCCATCTTCAGCAGCAAACGCAGACTTCTAAAATCTGATGGCGTCACTAATTGTCTGTATATCCGTCTCGCCTTTTCCTTGAGTGTTGACCCATGGCAGTCTCTAATAAGAAGATCGTGGTTAAGAGGCGGCCAGATTCCCTGGTAACTTCTCGCAGCGACATTGTCCTGAGACGGTGAGGATCTATTTGTGCCTCCGCACTACCCACAAGCTCTTAAAGACATGAGATCCAATAACCCGCATTGAGATGTGTGAATCTGGAAGAGCGGATCTGGCAAGAAAGGACGAATAAGAGGGAGACTACGACGTGTGTGCAACTAATGGGCTACAGCACTCGGGGCATTCCCATGCGTGCTCTGTCCTCAGCAGCCAGTTCCAATACTGATGGTACCGGTCACAATCTGGTTAAATGTCCGTCTTGTCTTTCCTCTGAGTGTAGTGAGCCGACCAGAACCTCTGGTTACACCCAGGTGCCTCATTCTCTCCAGGTCATACTAATCTGTTTTCTCCACTAATTCCTTTGATTGTTCCCAAAGGGCCTTGACCACATCTGCCTTGTCATGTATCAGTTCACCACCCAGTGGTGCAGATCCAGCCAATCTGTCCTACTGTTCATTAGGCCTACTCACTACGCCGGCATAACCTGGGGAAAAGATCCAAATTATGCTCACTACCAGTGACTTTCCCAGTGAAGCTTGCCACTCTGCTCGAAGCATCCTTGTCTACACCTTTTTCAGCATCCCTTCAGAGACAGTAACAATTACGACATGTGTTTGCATCTTGCTCTCTAGCCACCGGAAAGCTGCAGTTACCGCCTCCACCTCCATTCTCATGCTAGATGTTGTGATGTCGTATGCTAGGCTGTCTTCCACTAAAGATTTTCCATTGGCTTTCGCTACGAACCCCCGGGCACCTCTCTTTCCTCTCACCACCGAACCATCTGTATAGATAATCAGAACACCTGGGCGTGAATTGTCGTGATTCAACTGTTGGATTTCTACCTCCAACGCTACTGGAGGTGTTAGTATCTACACCTTCAGACATTTGCTGTGGAAAATGGAACATCTATAGTTATGCTATGATATCGATTCTTCAATCAGTAATCAATTTACAATTGAGGATGTGATTAGAGACTCTATAATTTATGGTTTAACGTATAAACAATCGGTCAACATGATTGCCAACGTTTATCGGTATAGCACAGGATGATGACGACATCCCCGAGAGGCCGTGTGATGATGGTTGGTTTGATTCCAGCAGACGCTAGGCTATCACTTCCGGTTCAAGCGACCCGGCCTAGACTGACTGTACAAGGAAACTCAACCTTTCTCCAAAGTTTTCTCCTCTCCAACATGTCAGAGGACAAAGATCAGGCTCTTGTATGGAAAGTTAAAAATGGGGAGCTGATTGATGTTAAGAAATATGTGGAAGAAGAGGTAAGAGCTAGTTATCATAACTTGCCTGGTTTTTGGCATTGTAAACCTTTTCCTTTCTCCGAGAGTTTTTTTTTTTTTTTAGTTGAAGTAAGTAAGAAGTAGCAAATTCATCTCAAAGTTGGAGTCGAAAATACCTTTGCAGTGATCAGTGTTTTTGTTTACGGTAAAGAAAGGATTAGTGAATATTTACTGTCAGTGTTCATAGACAAGATCGCGCGGATATCCCTCTTGGGAATGAAGTATAAGTAGAATGACTGAAGTCATTGAAGTATGATTAAGAAGTGATGATTAAACTACTGCTTCCTGATGATAAATAACAACAGCGAATGATTAACTTGTATACTTGATGCAACTGCGTGCCTTATGGTGCTGCTGAAATGCGAAGCTTACTGTAGACTGATCACTCATTAAGTTGATGGTTTCTCTCAGACAACTATATTGCTGGGACCTAAGGATTAAGATCACTTCTACAAAAAGCATTAGCATTGCCTTACAGTTAGGAGAAAAACACCCACAGACATTGAAAAGAAAAATAAATAAATAGATATGATATGAGAGAACCTTATGGGGTTATCTACTTAACCCTTTTAGCACGGGAAGTTTTTCAGAGGTCTAGCCAAAAACACGGAGCATTTTTTCAGTGAATTTGGTTATTACTTTATTTAATTTTTTTGACAGATTTCTGTTATTCTGACCCCTATGAAATAATATATCTATTTGAAGGATATAGATTGAAGTTCGTGATTTTCACAATATCGTTAAAATTAATTGATGTATATGCAAATTATCTCATTTGCATATCTAAAAATAGAAAATATGAATTTGAATTTTCAACTTCAATGCTTGAAACATAAAACTAAAAACAAAAATTTTTTTTATTTGAAATCTTTTTATTGATCTTTGGCCTTTTTACAAATGTTGTAAGCAATTCAATAGTCAAAAACATGTATATATATGTGAAACAGCAATAATATCTTTAGGTGACATGTGTTTTTCACCATCAGTCAGCACTATAAATGGATGTGCCGGAGTGTCAACACCTTCGGGTGGATATACCCTGAGCCATGGTTGGGCTGTGGTCTGAACACAACAGCGTCCCCATCTGATTCCCACTATAACTACTAACACTAAATTCTGCATCAGTATCAACAGAATTAGTGTCAACACTTGATTCAAATGTTTTATCAACATCAAGTTTAGGGGCAGAAACATACGAGTCAGACATACTTTTAGCGGTTCAGGTCACTATCTAAAAAATTCAACAACAATTTTCACTTCGATACCAAACACTCGAAAGTCGTCATGTGTAAAGCTGATACAGCAGTTAATATAAATGAATCACTTTCAGTGTTTCAAAGTAGGAGATTTCTTAGCGGTTCGAGGCGAAACACGATCGGGCCGATCATCGGCCGTTCCGTGTTTTTGGCAAGACATCCGCCGGCCGATAATCGGCCCGTCCGTGCTAAGAGGGTTAACTGTGTTTGGAAGTAGATTTCTACCATTAGTGAGGCACTGGGACCACTGTCAGTGTCATAATTTGGGAGCATCAGGTTCAGATCCCGGCCTGATAATTTCTTTAAGTTTTTTTTAAATGTCAAAGTTGTCCTCTCATCCCAGATTCTTTCTGGCCCTACTCAGTAATGTAATGTAGAACTATAGGACCCTTTCCCACGCCTCCAGGCATGTTGTGAGTTCAGGGCTAGACCTGTATTTTATTGACCAATTGACACTTGGTGGCTGTTGTGGTCAGCATCAATCAAGCCGTCTGCCTTTACCTGATGTGGTCAGCATCAATCAAGCCGGCTGCCTTTACCTGAGACCCATTCAAGGCTGGGTTTACCTGGGTGCCAAGGTTCCTTTTTTTCAGGTCCGGCTCAGTCAGGGCCTGACCCATGACCTTAAGATCCACAGGTGAGCATCCAGCTGCTACACCACGGCAGCTCCCCATCCCTGCTGTGAGTGCCAGGTAATATGTCCAAATTATTCTTTATTTCATTTCGACAGCCTCAAGGGTTCTCACCAGAAGTTGACCTGGTAGGCAGTAGGCCTCGGCCTGGTGGGGGCTATTTGCCTTCACTTTACCTGGTAGGCAGTAGGCCTCGGCCTGGTGGGGGCTATTTGCCTTCACTTTACCTGGTAGGCAGTAGGCCTCGACCTGGTGGGGGCTATTTGCCTTCACTTTACCTGCTAGGCAGTAGGCCTCGACCTGGTGGGGGCTATTTGCCTTCACTTTACCTGCTAGGCAGTAGGCCTCGACCTGGCGGGGGCTATTTGCCTTCACTTTACCTGGTAGGCAGTAGGCCTCGGCCTGGCGGGGGCTATTTGCCTTCACTTTACCTGGTAGGCAGTAGGCCTCGGCCTGGTGGAGGCTATTTGCCTTCACTTTACCTGCTAGGCAGTAGGCCTCGACCTGGCAGGGGGCTATTTGCCTTCACTTTACTTGGTAGACAGTAGGCCTCGACCTTGCTGGGGGCTATTTGCCTTCACTTTACCTGGTAGGCAGTAGGCCTTGACCTGGCGGGGGGCTATTTGCCTTCACTTTACCTACCTTCAGTATATCACATGCCCCTTTCTGTCAGTTTGGGAAGCGTGAACCTATGTTTATAGGTTTGACCAAAGTGCTTTAGTTAATAAGTCACAAATTTATACTATAAAAATATAGGGCTATCTTCCGAATAACGGTACTAAATTATTGAGGCCGAAAATATACCCTAACAGGGCCTCAGTCACGTGTCACTTGCGGACTTCCGGGGACTACACCGCCACCGCCGAATTTCAAACTTCCGGGGACTATACCGCCACCGCCGAGAGGATCTCCCGCGCCACTACGTGTGGCGTAGATTGGGGCTAAACAAGATGGCTGCGACTCACGAGCAAATAAAATGAAGGAAACTGCAGGAGATGTGGTAGCTGCTGCTCGTGAGTCCCAGCTCCAGCTCCAATCCACGCAGCGCGTAGTGGCATTGGAGATACTCTTGGCGGTAGTCGCCGGAAGTCCACAATTGACACGTGACTGAGGCCCTGTTAGGATACATTTTCGGCCTTGATAATTTGGGACCGTTATTCGGAAGATAGCCAAAATATAGCTAATGGAATAACACTAACTGGATCAGATGTACTATAATGGGAACTTTCTGAAAGACCGCTTTGATACACAACATCACGTGATAGTTATTTATCATATCTAAGTTCCAGTTTACTGTCAGCTCAGGACCTTAATACCCGCTTGTATTATGTTCCTGCCCATTCTGATCAGCTGTTGTGACACTGCGGCTAGCTCACTAGGTTGACAGCCAGGGGTGTTTGACTCAGTTGCCAGTATGTAGACTTTCAGAAGTCAGCGTGACTTTATTCAAAGAAGGCAGCTGTCAGCTGGAAGTTGTTAAATATGATCACAGATAAAACGTCTAGTGCAAACGTTGTTTTCTTCTCCGTCTTTTCAGAAAACAAATCTGTATCGTTTATGTTACTAATTTCAGTTATATACGGTAGTAGCTTCTATCTTTTATTTTTGTAGTTGAGATTTTAACACAGCTATATCTACTAACTTCCTACCCTGCCTTTCAGAGTACATGGTATATTCTTTACTCATGCTCTTTTCAGAATCTGAAAATTGCTACTTGCTATCTTCTGTGCAATGATAAAATAATTTGTTGATGGTTTCACTGCTTTGTGTTGCACTTGTTTCTCTTTTTTATGTCTGTGTCAAGCTGAGGTAGTTTTTACATTGTTCACCAGTTTGTCGGCCTCTTCATTGCCAGGTAAGCTGCAGTGAAAGGGATTATCTGGATTACAGCTGTTTTTGATTTGTCTAACAGTCCTTAGAACATTACTCTGAATTCTGCTAGTGACTACAGACATTCTCTTTGTTGTATTATTTAAAATGAATACAATATGCATCATAGCTCAACTGCCTATCATTTGTAGTAAAATACAACACTATCAGCACAAAGCATATGCATTTAGTAAGAAGAGAAAGAAGAAGTCTTTAGTATAAATGTTTTTAAAAAAAACAAAAAAATTTTGCATTGTTTAAAAAAACAAATGTCAAGCCAGTGTGTGGGTTAAATACCATGATGCAACATGATGACAGTGTTCAGATAGGATCCTTTATTTATTGTGAAATATTTAGTCGTTATGTATGATATGAATAAATTCATATAAATTCGTACTGGTCGGACCCTGCCCCCTCTTTCCTGGTAACATGCCTTTTGCTGTTCTTGTTTTTAACAATTTGTTCAATTTTGGCGTTCATGATAAGTCTCTTGGGATAATAATGTGGTAGTTTCCCCTTGCTTTCCACTTGACATGGCTTTAGACTCTGTCATCAGCCTTTGACAGCCTTTTAGATTGCCAGCCCTGCTCCATGATACTCCTGCTAACACAAGATATCATCATCATGTAACACTACAGTGTTGGGTCACCAGTTTCTCTTGACTCTCTGATCAGCTCTCTCTCCACCTTTGGTGGTCAGTTGCGATGTACCTCATAGTTGCATGCCTGAGGCTTGTCCAGTCAATCAAGTCCTGTAACCAGGTCTTTCTTGGTCTGCCTCTTCTCCTCTTTCCCTCTTCTGAGCCCTGCAGTATTGTTTTTGAGAGGCCAGTAGATCTTATCACATGTCCATACCATTGTATTTTTCGCCTTTCACTATAGTTGAAAGAAGTTTATAGTTGCTAGTGTGCTGTATAATTATATAGCCAACCTCTTTGTTTGTAATGTGGTCTCTGTGAAATGCCAAGTATTGTTCTGAATCATCGCATTTCCAATGCTTGTATCTTCCTTTAGAGTCCAGCAGTTAAGGTCCAGGTTTCGCAGCCATTTGTGAAAGTACTGAAAGCTTGTTCTCAGAGCAATCAAATCTTAGTTTTGCATTAAATGTTTTTATATCTCTATATTGTTTGCAGTTTGGCAAGGACTGATGTCTGGACAATCCTAGACATGATTTCTGGTCTTGACCCCAGGTCACTTAAAATGGTTCTTAAATATTTGAAATGATTGACTTTAATGTGTGGCCTTTATTATAGATTGGTGAAGTTATGCCAGCTGGATTATTAGTTATTACTTTTGTTGTTTTTTTCTACATTGTTTCATTGAGCAGATTTACAAGCTTGACTAGCTCTAGTTCTTCCCTGGCCAGCCCATTGATGTCATCTGCAAACCTTAAGTTGGACCTCCTATACTAACTGTTCCATGATGTTGTTCTAGGACGTCAGTCATAAATCTTTCTAACAAGATATTAAACAGTGTTGGGAAGAGGAGGCAGCCCTGACAGACTCCTACTGTTGTTTGGAGGGTATTGCTCTGATGATATGCAACCTTCGTCCAGCACGGAAACCTGCCTTTTCCTCTGCTTTAATCTGTTTAGAAGTATCCTGAGCAGGACTTTACTGGAATGACAGATGAGACACAAGATATACCTAATCTAATTTCTGCTTTTACTGTTTATCTTTCAGGGAGTAGATGTCAACAAGCAGTATCAAGGTCGATTTCCTCTACATTATGCTGCAGACTACGGCCAGACGGAAGTTTTAGAATACTTGTTGTCTAAAGGTGCTACAATTGATGTGAGTTTTATGTTGTCTGTGTTCTTCATCTCCCACTGGAGTTAGTTAATCGACCGGTTATCCTCATCACACATGGGACAAGTCAATAAGTATCTTACACAGCATGTGGTGACTGATGACACCAGTTCTTTGTTGGGATCTCCATGGCGAAGTGGTCAAGCTGTTTGCCTTACGCTGTGAGGGTCTCCGTGGTGAAGTGGGCAAGCTGTTTGCCTTATGCTGTGAAGGTCTCCGTGGTGAAGTGGGCAAGCTGTTTACCTTACATTGTGAGGGTCTCCGTGGCGAAGTGGTCAAGCTGTTTGCCTTACGCTGTGAGGGTCTCCGTGGCCAAGCTGTTTGTCTTACGCTGTGAGGGTCTCCATGGCGAAGTGGTCAAGCTGTTTGCCTTACGCTGTGAGGGTCTCCATGGCGAAGTGGTCAAACTGATTGCCTTACGCTGTGAGGGTCGTGGTTTTGTTCTCCGGCTGCGCTATTCAGTTCACGAGTACTATTTTTACAGAGATCCCTGGGAATCATCGCCCTAGCTAGAGAGTTCGTGCTCTGTGCAGCGCTCTCGGCAGGCTGCTGGCTGCTTTGCAGAGAGAGCCCGAGCCATATGGAATAAACCCCAGAGCAATGAAGTTGATACTCTCACCCTTATCTTTAGTTCTTTGTTGGTTTTGTATTTTTCTTTGGCTGCCTGTATATCTGGCAACACACCTGCATAAAGTTCTTGTAGTCTTGTCAAGGTTGCTGATACACCATCTTCTCCAGAATCACCTTCTTGAGAACATTGTCTCGGTCCATTGCTTTTCCTGTGCCTACCGTGCCCTGCCAGCAAGCCAATCCACTTGTTCATACCCATACCCCAGAATGTGGGGGGGGGGGGGGGTGCAACTGTTTCCTATTGGCGAGATTTTCTCAGAGACTCCAACCGTTGTGTGGTAACAAGATCCCAGTGGATTGTAGAGTCCTAAGCAAGTATCACCAAACCTTTGGTAGACTAGTTCTTTAATCAGAACAATGTTTCCTTGTTAATTTGAATAGTGTGGATACAAACAAAATATTGCAGAGTGTGTTGCCTGGCTTATTTCTCTAGGGAGCCACAGTGCTGTTGTGGATAGATGCTTACTTGCTGACCTGGAGGTTTTGGGTTTTCTTCTGCTTCTGTTCATAGCGAAGGCCAATGGCGCAACAAAGCCTGGCATATGATATCACAACGTATAGTTTGAGAATGGAGGTGGAGGCAGTCACTGCTGCCTTCCGTTGGCTTTAAAATCAGCTGCACACATGTCGTCATTGTAACTGACGCACAGAGCATGCTGAGAAAGGTGGAGACAGGCATGCTCCGTGCAGAGTGGCAAGCATCACCTCAGAGGTCCCGGGTAGTTAGCATCCTTTGGATATTTTTTTCCTGGTTGCGCCGGTGTGTTGGGAAATGAGCAGGTGGATAGACTGGCTGGTTCTGCACCACTTGGTGGTGAACTGATGTATGACAAGCTGGATGTTGTGATGGCCCTTTGGGAGCCAGTGAACAGTGCCGAGGCACAGATAGATCATTACGGTCTGAGGAGAATGGCACTGCAAGGAGTTACAAGAGCATCTGGCAGACGCTCGAAACTCGGGGAAGGGGCGAGACGGATATACAATCAGACTGTTGCTGGTACCATTGGAATTTTAACTCTGCGCTTGCTGCTGAAGATGGGGGATGGAGCGCCCTGAGTGCTTTTATGTCGATTCTTAATTCAACATTCTGCTTCTGTGTTTGCCCTTTAACCCACTGACTACCACCCCTGCACATAAACACATAGTATTTTGTATTTTTTTTTACCAAATTGAATGAGGAAACAAATTTCAAGAGCAACAATTGGGTAATCTTATTTGACCTCATTATCGTATGGCTGTGCAAAAAAGGCAACCTGAAAATGTGTTTTTCTGGCCATAATATAGACTTAACAAATATTCCATTATATAGACTTAACAAACATTCGATAGCTTCATAACTATTTAGTTAATTGACCGATTATCCTCATCACACAGCGGACAACCAGCACTCATAATAGTTTGTATTTTTGCACCAGGTTTAATGGAGAACAAATTTGAAGAATAGAAAATTGTGTAATCTTATTGTACATGTTCAGCGTGTGGCCTGTAGACCTTGGAGTTTGATTACCTTTGCTTATTTTGCACGCTAGTTTACTGTAGTGAACTTCCATGCCCACTATAGTCTCATATGACATTTCCCACATAGATGCCTATGGGCATTCATAAGGTGTTTTTTTTGTTTTGTTTAGTGTCTGTAGTCTAGGACAGAAAATGGACTTTATTATCAGACATAATATGTACTTGAGGCAATTCTTGTATATTTCAGGCTACTGACAAGTATGGCATTACCCCGTTGTTGTCTGCCATCTTTGAGGGACATACGGCCAGTGTGAAGTTGCTGTTGGAGAAGGTAAGAGAATGTCAGCCTCTGTGGATTCTTCCTGCGTGGCTTCCGTGGCCCAGTTGTGGGGGAAAATAACAATAGACCCACTGCCTGCCTAACATAAGAGTACACTAATAGGGGTTTTGCCTCAGTCAGAATGTATGAGCCTGAGGAGCAAGAAACCAACAGTCTGCCTATAAATATGCAAAATCTTTAAAACGAATATGCACACAAAACTAAAATTCTACAAGACTGGAGTCCAGAAGTGGACGAACAACCAGAACTTTCTGCTGGAGTTTACAGCAGGTGAACTTGTAGATGAAGACTAGGTGTTTGTATCACTGTTTTTGCTCATCAGATGATAGTTACCTGCTCCACAAATGTCTTAAGAATAAAATTTGTAGTGCAATATTTCGAGAATGCACTACGTGCATACTATTGAAATACCTCCTGTGTACAAAAAATGACATAAAAAGCTGTTAGACCAGCAGGTAAAGTTTATGACAAAATCACAGATAACAAGAAGTCCTCATATGGGCTCCGGGCCTTATAGGGGAAGGGGTGGGTGGTCGTTTGCTCAAATCAGATGTACTGGGCAAAAAGATGCTGTTATCGCAGCCGTCTTTTCTTTTAAGGGTGAATGCAGAAGAAGCAGTTGTTTGAACAATGGGCTTTTATATAGGAGAGCCAGTTCGAGTCCTCGCTAAGGTTGTGGATCTGAATCTGATTTGAAAAACAAAAATGTCAAACTTCGTTCTCTTTGAGCCGTCCGAGGGTTCTTTGCTGTCTTATATGAATTTTGTTTATTTGTGGCGATCAGTTTCACCTGAGTTTTGTTTATTTGCTTTAAACACATTCGACCTGGTCTGGCTTTAACCCTTTCGCTGCTATGGACGTCTTTTCCCGATTTCCCGTACGCTGCTACGCCCGTCTTTGGACGTTATTTTTTTTCTTGACCCCCAGTGCTATGGACGTCCTAAGCCGTTTTTGGACTTTTCTTACAGATTTCTGTTACCTCGTATTTTATTGGCTGAAGGGCAATATACATTAGCTATATTTAGATTAAACTGACCTATTTACATATGATTAAAAGCAATGGCACGTACTTTTAGGTGTGTTTACTGCATTTTGCGTTATCCCGTTGCTTTGTTTACCGTGACAGCGTGGTCGGTGATCTGTGTATTTTGTGCCCTGATATATATTTGTGCTTTTGGATTATTTTACACTTAGTACAAAATGGCAAGAAAACTTGTTAAAGTTAATGAAGAATTGATGGAGTTTCTGTCAAAAGTGATAGCGACGATGACTTTGAAATGAATACTTCTGACAGTGAACAAGAAGATTTGACTAGGCCATCAGTATCGACTGCTGAAACCGGCGTGTCCAAAAAAAACTGTTTGCCTGTCCGACGTCCTCATCGTCGGAATCAGAGAGCAGCGACAATAAAGCGCCACCAAAACGGCAATAAATTGATCAGTTATCTTGATGAACCGATGATTTGAAACCAGTAGTGCATGATTTTGATGACTCCAGCTCTATCTGTATTTCTGCTACTGTAAATTCAAACAGTCAAGTCACTAAAATTTCTCGTCTTTCCCGATGGACAGACACAGATTCGGACGAACTAATTTTTTTTCTGTCTGTCTGCTAATGCTTAGAACAAAGAAACTCAAAATAGAGTACTTGAGCAAAGACTGTTTGCCAAAAACTCCCGTAAAATAATGTGGAGAGACATATTTTTACTATTGTTGAGAATCTCAAGCATTTCTTAGACAACAGTGCTCATGCAGGCGGCGATAGACTACAAACAGATACATTGTTGATAGTCTGCGCACATCATTCATTATGATCATTTGCACAGCGCAAGACGTTAAGCGGCTGCATAGTGTAATTGGTATCACGTTCGCCTTAGAATCGGAGGGTCATGTGTTCAACCCCCGACGTTTTCTTTAAATTTTTTTATTAATTGTAAATTTTCCTTTGAGTTCATGCTACTTTTCAGCAACGGACGACTTGAGTATTATTATGAATATTTTTATTTTGGTATGTAATAACATGGTGACTACATGTAAGTATGATTAAAGTGGCAGCCGTGGTAGGTTCGTCAATTAAATTTTGGGATACGGACTGGGAACAGTTCCCCCCATTAATTCCCCTCCCCCCCCCTTCCCGAAGGGTGATAGCTCCTTTAGTTAAGTTTGTGGGGCACCATCGTGCCTCTGACTTGTCACCACTCGGACCAACCACACAACTCCCCAGGGTAAAATTTTTTAGGTGTACAAAACATAGCCCTCACCGCGGACGCATCTTTTGCGTTTAGAGGATAGAAAAGTATTGCGCACAGCAGAGACTTTATTTTTCACATTGCTTAGCACAGGGAGGACAACTATTTCCGGGAACGTAGCAGCGAAAGGGTTAAGGCTCTTGGTAGGGCTGATTTCCTCATGTTTGGGAGGGGAATCTGCCAGTCCTGAGAAGGACAAACAGATTACCTGGGCCGGCAAGGTTGTGGATTATTTCTGCTAAGGTTAAGAATGAAATCCTAACCTACAGAGTCTGTGATGACAGCACTAGCCACGAGGCCGTAAATGCTTAGGCTCAGAGACTTCCCCCGCCTACACTACAAAAACGTTAAATAAAAGCAGTAATGGCAGCTTTGTTTGGGGGAGGGGAGCACGGCCGAATAAACAGATTTTGTTATGTTACTGGGGTATTTTGCACAAGCAAATTTTGTGTCCCATTAAAAAAAAAGATGGTTTTGCAAATAGACACAAAGGTTTAATTGTAATTAATCTGCGGAACTGTGATTAGGAAGCTTGGCGAAGGAAGGGTAGAGGAGGAGAAACAGTTCGATATTTGGTAGGAGCCTAAATCAAGGAAAAGATACTCTCCACCTTGTCATTTTCAAGTTTCCTTTCATGAGCCTGGCCATTGTAGACAGGATTGACATTCTCCCCCCCCCCCCCCCCCCCCCCCCCCCACAGTTAGAGTACATCTGTGTGAGAAAGTCTGCATACCAATAAGCCAGATCTGTCAAGTGGCTCTACATGCTTACTTGTTCTGGAACAAGAACAACTAGGACTCTCTGCTTCAGCTCTCAAACACAGAGGATTCAAGAAGAGATCCTGTAAGCGTTCATTGTCTCCCACTCTTAGTGTTTACTGTCTCAGAATGAACCGCCCCACCCTTTTAGAGTTGATCATGTTAATCTCCTAGACTTAAGTTTAAGTGGGTATTATTTTTCTGTTGCAGGGTGCCAATAAAAGTGGAAAGTCCCCAGATGGTGCCAGCTATATAGACTGCGCCGAGAAGGATGAGATCAAAGCTCTCCTCAAGTAGCTGTCTGTGCCAATTCAATCAGGATATTTCTAACACAATGACTCGTACTAAAATATTGAACGCCCATTATGCCAGTTGTCAAATTCATTATCATAATTTGTCAGAAATACATGTTGTCATAACAAAATCATGTCTAAACAGTAATCAACTGTTGTCATATCTATATTCTATATGTACAATGTCTCAAATATGTTGCTTGCCATTAGTGATTCTACGTATAAGCTGTCTTGTCCAACCTGAGTGTTTTTCTTGAATTGCCCGCAGTGCATGTCTCCATCACATAGCTGCACCATATTGGATACAGAAGCATATCAAATTATATCATGCAGCAGATGTTAATGCATGAAATTATTTTTCTGGCTGCATGAGAAAATTTTTTTTTAAAGCTAGCAACCTGAGTGAGGGAAGCAAGAATTCTCCTGTTACCTGTCTAAGCGCACATGACCGAGGCAGATTTCTCTCTCATTTGGTATCATTTATGTGACCTCCTTGTTGTGTTATGACTGAATCCTACAGTATGTGCAAAAGCAACATTAGCTTTCCTGTCAGCATCACCCATGTGTTGTTTATTCTTATTTGTAAGTCTGAGGGTTGCAGTTGCTGCAGAAACAGATCACAGTTGATTAGGATAATTATTTGCAGTTGGGATAGGGAACACAAAACAGGATTATATTGAGACTGAAATAGACCTTCAAGAACCACCTTTGTTGGCGGTGAAATGTCACAAGTTTACCTGATCTACATGCATCAACACCCCTTGTAACCTAGGCTCCAGTAGATGGCGCACAAAAGGGAATGCACACGCACAACACATGATAAATGAAAAAGTAGACAGAAAGAAACTAGTATGCGTATTTTTGTACATTACTGAGGAAGGAGAAGAAGCAGTGGAGGGTTCAGATGACTGCTTCTTCTATCACGTTTGTTGTTTAAATAAAACTGCAAGCAGATTAAGGTTGTCTGTACACTACTAGTCCTGTAAAACACTGCCCTGAAGTATATAATCTCAACATGCTAGAACAAGAGCCAACCCAAAAACTGTGAAATAGGATCACTTTCAAGACAAGGTCATGATTTGCTGTGTACAAAAGAAAACAGGTTAAAGTATCTACATGACAATTGTAGGACTGATACTTGAGAGTGCTGTGAAAGAGTGACCTATCACAGTCCTGCCCAGCTAAAGATGAATGTGAACTAAACGCCCCATACAACTTCCTTCAGCCAAAACCAATACTGGAAGGTCCCACGACTGCAATTGAATTCTACAATTAAGACACCACATGACATTCAGAACTGTGAGGTAAGGAAGAAAGAACTACTGAGACGGCAATAAGGCAAAACTCAGTGTACAGACATAATTGAGAATCCTTGCAAGCGGATGATAATCTTGATACAGAGCATGCATTCAGTTCTTCCATGTCCAAGACCGATAACTGGAATATTTATGGCAAATCCTAGATTAACATTAATGAAATCAGTGTCTGATAACAGGAGAAAGCCTTGCCCAAACATGAGCAACCATGTAATATACATTTGTCAAGTCATCTAATGAACATTGTTCTGCATTTATTCATGTTTTTTTTTTTTTTGCACTAGGTGCATTTGTTGCGCTAGACAGTAAGTTTACGTCTGTTTATATCAGGTTAACATTTGTGTTCTACTAGAGTTGTTTCACACCAGCATTTGTGTGTAAAACTGATTATTGTGTGTGCCTCTGTAAACATAGCTTGAAGAAAATCTAGCATGTTTTTTTTAACCGCTGTTTCACTAGTTTTCTTCATCTATTAACTGTGTGTATACTTCAATAACCGTGTCCAGACACCAGTGTTGTGAGGCTGGTACCATGGCTCACTTTCCAGCCAAATTATTTTTCTAGTTTTAATTGTGGGTACATAAACATATGCACAAGTTTCAGACAACTTGAGTTTGGGAAAATGAGGTTTTGAAAAGTGCAATAAACCAGTCAGAAGTTTTACTGACCGCTGTGAGTGTCACCAAGATGTATCCACTAGTGACAACAGACTGACAGGAGGCCTAGATTGAATACTGTTCAGTCCTGGCAGATTTGCCACTTGCCCAAGTCATTTCAATGTAACATTATGATGCTGTCTTTATCGTCTTATTTTATATTTATGTCATGTGTAAAACAAAGCCCATATTATTTGCCTGATTTTTGTCTACAAGTGTAGTGGTGAAATAATGAGTGCACATACACCATATAGAGCTCTTCGTAAATGTGTCTGCTTTTCTGACTGCCTTATGCGACTTGAAGATACAGGCATTTGTTTCATCTTTTTCATTGATTATATCATCATCATTCATGTTGGTGAACAAAAGCATCTATTAGTGCTATCATCTACTGCCATTAAATAACATGAATGCAGTGCTGTACCTGTCATTTTGAGTTTCTTCGTTTAGTTTGTTATGTTACTGTCAGAAATATGACACTTCTGTGTGCAGTTGTTGAGAGGTTATGATGTCTGGCAATTTTATTTCAGTCGTAGCCAAAAGTATTTTTTGTCACATTGTGGCATCGTCCAATAACTAGTCTTCACAGATGTCTTTGAAAAAACTAAGTCCCATTTACTAATAGTGTTTTGTTCCTTAGCAGAAAGTAGAGCTTCTTAGATAAGACATTTGTTAGGTAAGGACACCTACTCTCAGATGGACATCTGTCAACTTTGGTGGAATCTGAAACTGCTGAAAATAACTGGCGGGGTAAAAACTATGTCCCTCTCAGGTGCATAACAAGACTTCACACACCGTTCAAGAAAGGAAGTGTCGCTAACAAACACTACCACACAGAAGCATGACCCTTAATGTCTACATTAAACTCTCAGCTCAGGGAAAGTCTGCTGTCCTTTAATATACGATGTTAAAAAATCTCTATGATGCAGCACTATCAGAGGATCTGCTTATCTGTGTAAACAAGCTTTTCTGTCTGATTTGACTCAATACTTTCATTTCAGTTCTCTATTAATTCATTTTATATTTATACTAAACCATTTCAAAAAAGCTTCATGTCTTTTTTAACTCTCCCATTTTGAATCCGTACTTCATAATTGTATATAGCCTGATTTGCATATATAATTTGTTTCATACAACACATTAGATAAACTTAGAATTACATCTCCAACGATCCGATAAACATCAGCTAATTAACTACACCCCATGACCTGGTTGAAGTGGAGAAACAACAAAGCCAACCACAAAATAAATGTCAATGGCAGTGGATTTTATTTTCCCCACACAAAAACAGATATCCTAAAGGTTAACGGTAAGATTTCTGGTATCTGGCACGAGCTCCAGGTCCTCCGAACTTCTTTGGTTCACAGCGACGGGGATCTGCAACCAGCAGAGACCTGTCATACTGAATCAGCACATCCCTGATCTCTTTCTTTGAGGCCTCATCCACATCTGAAACAACAACATGCTGGTTAAACACAGCCACAGATGACAGCGGATGCTGAGAGATAAACACACAGAAACAAGCTCAGAGCCGGCAATGTGTATTACATGGTGTAGATCATATACATACATGTGTGTGTGTGTGTGTGTATATATATATATATCAGTTTATTAATAACTAGCTGTACCTAAACGCTCGTTGCTGTGGCATAGTTTGGCTAAATGGAAAAGAAAGAAAATAGAAATCACTCGTGTCTAATATGGTTACTGTCGCAATCATTGTCTGCTCAGATATAGAGATAGTCTGGTTTTCCAACTTTAGATTACGCACCATATGAATTGTGTCTTTATAGAGTGGTAGTTTAAATGGTGTTATTGGCACAGTAACAAAAATGGTTATTTGGTTATCACATGCTAAAGCTGTTTGCATGTTTATAGGAGACGGAAGTTAAGCTACTACTGTACTTGTAAATAATAAAGTGAGTCGTAAAAAAATTAGAATAGCGGAGGGAGCGTTAGTAAAATATAAACAAATTAACTAATAAGAACTTTAAAATCATGTGTTTAGCTCTTTAAGTTAACAATGTCAGTCATTACCCCCTCCCTCCCGACTACTGCTCTCTCCCTCTTTGAAGGTTTTGAAAATCATCACCAGGCGTTGTTTTTTTTGTTTGTAATTGACATTGACATCCCTGTCCTTTCGGACTAAAATGGGGAGCAGGAATTGTAATAGGTAGTAAATGGGGCTAGTGTAATATTTACCACATCGCTCTTCAAGTGCTAGTACAACTACTACCACGACCACCACCACAATAGCTAAAATAATGTCACTGCCATCTGTTTTACCATCGGAGTAGACAGGGAGTTGTGAGCCAGAAGATTTGGCGTCGCATGGCTAGTGCTGTCGCCACGGACTGGTCAAGTTAGGGTGTATAATTTCGCTCCCCGACAGAAGAACGCCATAACCTTACCGGCGGTCTTCGCATGAGAGCACTACGGTGTAACCGCCCAACCACAACAACTACTTTGAGTGGGTAAGGCAGTTACTGTGACTTAAAGCTCTCTCAGTAAAGAGTGCCCCCCCCCCCCCCAATTCACTGACTACTCTTCCACTCATCAAAGTAGTTGGGAGAAGAAAAAAACACCAATTGAAAAGCAATGAAAACAGGAAAAATACACCATAATTAGGAAATGAACGCTATGGCACCGCTTAAAATTCCAACGCAGATGAAGTAATTAAATCTTAATGAAAATAAATGGAAAGCTATGAAATTTCAGCGTAACCATGCAATCGGAAAGTTTTAAATGATATCATAAGTATGCGAAATGGTCAAATTTAATTATTAACTGGTTTACCCACATACCTGCCCTTTTGTTTTTTTTTAGTATTAAGGGACACATGTCTAGTGCTGTCACCAATACAACGCAGGTGAGAATTTTATTTTGACCCCGGGTAAAAAAAACAATTTGCTGCGGCTTCGAACCCTGGTCTCCCGCACAGGAGCCCAGTGTTCTAACCATTCGACCAAGCAACCACTTCATCAAAGCAGCGAAAAGAGAACAAAACTATTTGAGATGTGTGTTCCTACTACCATGTCCCGATTATAGCACAACTCAAAACCGCAGGCAATTGTTTTCTCATAGACAGATATTCCAGATATTGAAACGGCATGGTTAATGTCGCAGTCATTGTCTGCGTAGATGTAGAGATAGTCCTTGATGCCCCTCCCCCTTTCCAATTCATCGACTACTCTCCAACTCATTGAAGGTTGTTTGAAAAGACAGAAAATTTAAATCTTATCTAATATGGTTATGGTGGCAATCATTGCCTGCACAAATATAGAGATGATAGTCTTGTTTGCTGTACCACGGCCTACTCTATTAATTAGAGAAGGCTTTAGCTGTACGTATCTCGCAGGCGAATGGTGGAAGTCTAGCGTTCTGACTACGGCGCATGCGCATTTACTTACATGGCTATAATTAAATGTCACTATAAATGGAAATATTAGTTTAGAAGATTTTTCCAAAAATTGTGGTCACCTATCTCTAACAATGACAGGTTGAATTTCAATGATAGGTAAACATCCGGTATCAAAATAAACATCCTGAAAATTTCAGCTAAATCAGTTCAGTAGTTTCCGAGTCTATATCCCATAAACAAATACACAAACATTGATTTTATATATATAGATAAAAGCTGTTTCTTTTGTAGTAAAAAGTAAAGGGCCCTTTTCCATGCCTTTAGGCGTATAGGGCTAGACCTATATTTTTTTTAGACCAACAGTGTTTCTTTTGTGCCTCTTGAAATAGTCTTATGGGACATTCTAACTATTCTTTAAATATTAGTAAAGTGAAAAGGGCCTTTCTTCCACGCTTTAGACAAATTAGACATAGCATGCTAAACTTATATTTTATAGACCAGTCGACACTTGGTGGGTGATATAAACTCAAACCGGCCTAGCTCCCAGGACTTGTACCTGGTACCCAGATCAGGCTGGGTCAAAAGGAGAGACAGAGTCACTAGGGAAAACATATCTGGCTTTGTTTGGATTAAAATACTAGGTACAACATAAATAGGTGAGATGAGCACTTCTGAAATAATCTCTAGGGTAAGGATACTCAACTGACAGCCTGTGGAGATCTAGCAATTAGCCCAAGGATCATTACATTACTGACCTTTCTATGGTGGGGCTCAGCAACGTGGCCATGACCATACCCATTTTCAAAATGTTGGCCCCTGAGTAAATTTAGTTGATATATCCCAGCCCCGTTAATTATTTCTCACCCATTTGACAATATCTGCTAAGCCCTTGGCATGAAAAACATGCAGGTTTGTTAAACAATTAAAACTTTCTAATTATATAACATACAAATATGTTACACAATTTTATAAGCTAGAAAAGTTGGTGATGACTTACATTTCTGGTAGTAGGAGACGATAGCCTTGGAGATGGCTTGTCTGATAGCTGCAGAAAACAAAGTGACAAAACATTAAAACATAATCTGAAATGATGATCTCACTCACAGTAGAATGTAACATTGTTTGGTCAGCACAGTGCCCCTGTATCAAAAGACTCCACCCACAACTGTATCTTACTTAGACACACACAAAAACAGGCCACTTGAATAAACCCTAGACTAATGTATGTTTACCAGAGGACAGCAACAGGCATCTCAAAATACCATGTTTATAAAATATTTAAATAGAAACATTGAACAGAAATTGACTTTTTTCCCCACACCTGCAGGCACACTGGGCATATAGGGCTAGACCTAATTGTATAGACTAACCAGCACTTGGTGGGAGATGTGGTCAACATGATGCCAACCACCTTTACTACATCACAGGACTGCACCTGGTACACTCAAAACTGGGTCGACCTAGTTTGTCAATGGGCAGCAGGCCTAACAACAACCACACCGTGCCACTAGTGTTTACAGCCATTTAACACTAACAAGAAGAAAAAGGATAGACCCCCCCCCCCCCGAATAATCATGTAAAGGATAACTAATCTAGAGCACTTCCTTATAACAAGTCCAGAAATGGCCAAGGACCCAGAACTTTTTGACAGTTTACTGCTGATGAACGCTGATGATGACGACTTACCATAAATCTGTGCCACATGACCGCCTCCTTTGACCCTCACACGGATGTCCACTCCAGCAAATCTGTCCTTGCCCAAAAGCAGCACTGGTTCTTGGAGCTACAAGCAAAATTACAACAAATAAATAGAAACCTGGTCTTTCTGTGTTGATAATTATTGTATTCACTTAGTCTCTCTGTGCAGTTGTGTCCGTTTCTACAGCTTTATTTGTCAAATGTTGCACTAACTTTTCTAATTATTTTTCACATGTACAGAAAATGCTACTACAAATGTAATCAAACTAATCATAAACAGAGCGTAGGTCTTCAACCAGCTTACACTAAACTTATTGTGTTTCAGTGATCCAGGATGAGACAAGTAGATTAGTCCTGCTTCGCATTACTTGTACATGTAGAGTAGCTACTACTCTTTGTCTGCCTTGTAAGGCTGGGTCAGTTGAAGTCACAGTAATCAATTAAAGCAAGAACCTTTCAACCGCTGAGGCAGGAATACTGGAGGAGGGGGGAAGAGAAATCATTACATCTTCAGGGCAAACCTTTTAAAAATGGGAGCAAGAAATATGACGAAGTCATAGGCATGACTTTAAAATAAGCACATTTTACCGACACTATCTACTACATTTAGCTCAACACTTTACCCTAAAAAACCAAGTGTTAATAAACAGTAGTGCATAAAGAAGCCTTTTATACGGAACAGGCACATTGTTTGAAAAAAGTTCAAAAAAATATTGCGACCATTTGTCAGTGACTCATATAAACAAAATCTTAGCTGTAAACATCAATGACAACTTTGCAAGGATTATTTTCAGGGCAGGGGCAAACAGACATACCTTGACTCTGAGAATTTCGGGCTCCATCTGGTCCAGTGGGCGGCCATTGACTTTGATGAGTCCACTTCCACGCTTACAGTGGGCAACTGCTGTTGCAGTTTTCTGTGGACAGTTTCATGTTCACACAATAATCAATGATGTTGAACTACCATTCAGGTTATATTGCAACTGAAAATCAGAAACTAACCTAGGACACAGCCACATTCAGTGGTTAATTTCAAATAAGAATTTGTGAATAAAACTAATTTGCTTTCAATAAATGTCTGGCAGTTCTGTTTCTACTGAGTCTTCAGAGTTGACAAGTATTCTTGACAAGCATGGATCCAATTTCCATGATTCTTTCACAGCTTGTGTAGCTCTGGGGTTCATACAAGATATTAAAATTGTTTTGAATGGTGTTGAAGGGACTTGATACCTCATCTGGTGTCAATCTAGAAAATGTTACCCTCAGATACTTTACACCTCAATGGTAGGATCTGCAATGTGATTACTGATTACCACAAAAAAGAAAACATTTAGCAGTATCAAAGTTCACAAGAATGTGTTGGATGAAAAACTGTAGTTAGATCGGTAAAGTCAGGGCCCATGGAATCAAGCCCCTACCTCAACTACCTAACATTTACTGTTCCCTTATTTACACTGACACACAACCTACATCAGGCTGTTGCCAAACCACAAGGGAAAAATCTTTCACCTGGCCATTCATTATGAGAAAAGTGAATGCAAGATAAGTACAATTCTAGAAACATCTGTTCTCACTGCAATAAATATACTAGCACAATATGTAAATATGTCATAGAAGTCTACAGATATCTGTCATGTCAGCAAGATGGAAGAAATCTGCTGAAGCTAAAGTTTTCAAATACTGTACTTCTCCAAGTATAAGATGATCCCATGTAAAAGACCACCTTGATTTAGAGACTGACAATTTAGGAAAACAATATGGTTCAGCTGTGCAAATCTTTTGCCACAGTATAAGACACACATTATGTAAACACTTTATTGTTGGTATACTTGGAAAAATATGGTACTTTACCACTGCAATGTGGCTCTATCTAGGGTTATACTGACCTTAGTTATATAAAGTCACTAGGTATACACTAGATGACAAACAGTTGTTTATCTTTATTTGCTGCACTGTCCAGTCGCTCACTTGTGTTCTAGTGGTTGCTACACATGGCTGATTAATTACATTTCCAACTATCTCACAGTGATTCTCTCTGCCAGAACCTTGTGGATCATACATGTGGATCAGGCTCTCTGCCAGAACCTTTTGGATCATACATGTGGATCAGGCTCTCTGCCAGAACCTTTTGGATCATACATGTGGATCAGGCTCTCTGCCAGAACCTTGTGGATCATACATGTGGATCAGGCTCTCTGCCAGAACCTTTTGGATCATACATGTGGATCAGGCTCTCTGCCAGAACCTTGTGGATCATACATGTGGATCAGGCTCTCTGCCAGAACCTTGTGGATCATACATGTGGATCAGGCTCTCTGCCAGAACCTTTTGGATCATACATGTGGATCAGGCTCTCTGCCAGAACCTTGTGGATCATACATGTGGATCAGGCTCTCTGCCAGAACCTTTTAGATCATACATGTGAATCAGGCTCTCTGCCAGAACCTTGTGGATCAGGCTCTCTGCCAGAACCTTTTGGATCATACATGTGGATCAGGCTCTCTGCCAGAACCTTGTGGATCATACATGTGGATCAGGCTGACATCTGGTTTCTTGTCCCTATACAGTCAAGACTTGCAGTCAGTAGACATCCATTTCTGCTCTTGCACAATTACACAAAGACAATCTGCATTCTTCTCAGCCGTTCTCTTGCATTCGTCTGCACCCATCCAAGTCCAAACTTCAACTGACCTCCTACCCTCTCTGGGTTCACACCTTCCGTTTAAGTCCCACGTTTTCCCCGCATCTCTATTTACCCAACATGGAATACGCAGGACATGCTTTCCACTTTCTTTTTGTTTTCCTGGCCCTCTGACCGTCCCACCCCCTCCACCAATAAGGAACTCTCTGGGATTTCCCAGGGAATTCACAACATTACAACTACGTATATGTATATTTATTCGATTGGTATCTTATATATGTCCAAACAGGTGCCACCTTTAACCAAATCCCTGATTAAGGTATTTAATGCTGGTTATCTCCTAACTAGCTACCTCAACTACCTAACAATTACTGTTCCCTTATTTACACTGACACACAACCGTACATCAGGCTGTTGCCAAACCACAAGGGGAAAATCAAGCACAGTAATGTAGCGAGCAACATGCCAGACCAAAATAAAAAGACGTTAACTGGTTAGAGAGTTTATGCTTCACTGATTTGGAAGAGGAATGCGGCAACAGGAACTGATCAGACATTTTTTAAAGCAGGATTTGCACTCAAGAGGAATCAGACATGGAGGAAAAGATCGTCGAGGTAGAGACATATCTTAGATATTTGTAAGAAAAGCTGCAACTATGATAACAAAGCACTATATGCTACCTGATTGCATGTTTACTATCTCACTGCTGTACTTAAAATATTTCACTGCATTCTTAAATCTGTTTTCTTAAGCCATAAGGTTCATCACTATATAAAGGACTACCACTGTATACAGATACCGGCCGCTCTTATATCTCACTCTGACGAAAGAGAATTTTGCTTTTGATTTATAATACAATAAACAGGAAAATCATCAAGCTGGTACTGCAGCCAGAAGGAGCTGACTAGTGATGACACACACAAACACTGTAGCTAGATCGGTAAAGTCAGGGCCCATTCAAACCCAGACCTCAACTACACAACATTTACTCTTCCCTTATCTACACTGACAAACAACCTATATCAGGCTGTTGCCAAACCACAAGGGGAAAATAGTATCAATGCGCCTTAAAAAAAAATGAAGGTAGTATTCTCGACTATACATGCAAATATTACACTTTATCACGCTACTCTGCCATGTGAAAATTAAATATGGGCAGTCAGAACTATCTGGCATAAACATCATCAATCCACTCTTAGAGCACTCGGCTATCTTCCGAATAACGGTCCCAAATTATCAAGGCAGAAAATATACCCCAACAGGGCCTCAGCCACGTATCAACTGCGCACTACCGGCGACTTCTGCCACCGCCAAGAATATGCCCCACACCACATGGTTTGGGACTAAACTAGATGGCTAGGACTCACGAGCAGCAGCTACCGCATTTCCTGCAGCTGCCTTCATTTTATTTGCTCGTGAGTCCTAGCCATCTAGTTTAGCCCCAATCCACACCGCTAATGCAGCATACTCTTGGCGGTGGCGGAAGTCGTCAAAAGTTCGCAATTCTGAGGCAGCGGTATAGTACCTGAAGTGCGCAACTGACACGTGACTGAGGCACTGTTAGGGTATATTTTCTGCCTTGATAATTTGGGAGCGCTATTCGGAAGATAGCTGAGAACTCTTGGAGAATCTCTTCACAGTTCTGTAGTAGCAGCTGGGTTCTGGTGTGTTTATCCGAATAATGAATGTGCATTGCAGGTGGGTTTTTCTTGTGTCACTAGATCAGAAGACATCCTTTTAATTTCTTCTACAATTACCCTGCATCTCCACAATGAGCCTCTATCCTCTGGAGCTACACATCTGAGATGCCAGAGTAAAAGCTAATGAATCAGCAGACAAGCTGCAAGTGTCAAGCCCAAATGCATGTGGATAGATTGGATTGATAGCAATAATGCAATAGCATAGCTCATAAAAAATGATGAAATGCTAACAGGATGGCCTGATCTGGGAGTTGAGCTTGGTGATGGTGAATGGTGAAGAATGTGTGTCATCTTCGGAGCAAAGACAAGAGAACAGGAGACATCACCAACTTCTCATGGGAACATTTAGTAGCCGTACCCTGGAGTAGCTGCTGCATCAGTGGAATGAACACATTGCATGGGAATGCCCAATGTGCTGTGAAAGCAACAGTGATACAAAACTGGGCAGGAACTTCGCAATTTGCATATGACTAAGGCCCTGTTATGGTATTTGTTTCGCCGCCCTAGGCCTAATGTGGGGACGAAGTTCGAAGGAGAGCCGTTTTTAAATTTAGGGAGAAAAAATTAGTTTAAGCTCAACAAACCTTGCGCCCAAATACTTGCACGGCTTGTAATGGTCCTTTAGGAGGCATCTGAAAAAAAAAATAAACGTACCCACAGTTAATAAAAAAACAAAACAAAATAGAACACTAATTTAAACTAAAAGAGAAAATGCCAACATGCACCGCAAGCATGCCGGTCGCTATCGAAAATGGGTTATTTACACATGCCTGTTCTACTTTTTTGTTCGCTAACCACATAATCCACAATCGTAATTATAAGACAATGCGAAAACATTGTTACTTTACGTTATTATTTATTAAGTAGACACTGTAATAAGAAAATCAAATCAAAATGAGAAAAACTGAATAAGTGGCGGAACACGAACCTCGCTACGATTTCACCAGCGGCAGAAAGGAAATGAAGACCTCAGTTAGTTATAACAAAACTTGAATTCGATTATTGACGAAACAAACTTCATTCATAAATAGGGATCCGGATTTATTAGCCTGTTGTTTTGTCAACTTCATAAAATCTACCAAAACAGGAAAGTCAAACTAGTCAGTTTTTCCCCGTGTGGGTTCCGGGACCCTATTATATGGAAAATAAGAATAGACCCACTGCCTACCCAAAAGCATGTCGTAAGAGTCGACTAATGGGAGCTTCCTTCGGAGTCGAAGTGCATCTGCCTGAGAAGCAAGGAACCAGCAGTCTTCATACAAATGAGTCAGACCTGTCAAACGGATGCACACGCAACACTCAGGTTCTGGAACAGGACTGCAGTCCAGAAGTGGATGAACAACCTGAACTTTCCTCCAGAGTTTACAGCTGGTGAACGCGAAGAAGAAGATCACATCGGTCGCCAAAGACGATCGGAAAACACATATTCATCGAAGTTATGAAATAGCAACGACAATAATTGTTTGGTTGGGGGTCACCACAACATGTGGAACTAAGAACCACTGCTATACCGTATATTCATAACCATAACCTAGATGGACTAAAAAGGATTATCATTATTACAAACTTTTGTAGTAATTTTTATATAAATAATTTCGTATTTAACCATCAGAGCTGTAACTGAGTTATACTGTGTCCTTTGTAATTTCAGAATCTACATTTACGACTTTTTACATCGTGTAACCATTTCGATCACAGATGGGTGTAATTTAGGTCATTATTGTTATAACCAGGGCTGCCAATGAATTTTTTTTTAAAAACCCTTCCAAAGTGAAAACAAACAAACAAAACAAGCAATACATAAGCACAGAATAAAACCCCAGATCGTTAGAAAGTACATTTTTTGTTAGGAAACGAAACATTTACTCCCTTTGATATAATGATATAAAAAAAACGAAGATTTCAAAGTTTGAACCCAAGGCATCAAATAGAAACCTAGATCTGGGGGAAAAACCAGTATTGGTAGCTCTGGTTATGACAGACTGTGATAAGAGCGACGTTCTGCAAAGGACCTGCTAAATAATGATGATGATGGTGATGACATACAGAACTCGGCAATGTATGCATTCGTGGCCATGACCCCAACTTCCGGTCTGCTGTGGCAGATTTGGCGGTAACTTGGAAGTTTTTGTGTTTGGAGCCTGGGATTAGGATTCTTGTCGAGTAATTTCGAGCATTGTGTCTCTGTGACTGTCACTTCACGTCTGAGATCATGTCCACAGACAGTTCTCCTCTCGCCAGCACGGTCCTGGGTGACAAAACAAACATCGAGACCCATGATGTGCAGACAAAGACCAAGAATGGGACGACAGTCACCAACACCAGCAAGAAGTACATGTTTTGTTTGTTTTAACGTTGTACTGACTGCTAATTATTTTATTATTATTATTCGGTTATAATTTTCTGCCACAGTTGCACAAATGGCAAATAATATAATACCAGTAGGTGTGGCAAATCTGTATTTTTGAAATAAATATTAAAATATTTCAAACCTGCAAAAATTGTCTGCTAACTCGTTGGTCTTTGGAGATTGAGCCTTTTTGGAGTTTCGGTGCCAAGAAGACGACGGAACCTTCAGAAGGGGATTCTCATAGTTCATACACAAAAAATTATAACAAAATAAAGCGTTTTATTAACATAAAAAACTATATATTTTAGTGTAGGAAATTGAATGAACTAACAACTAACAGAATATTTATGAATCAAACTGAAATCTCGTTTATTCAAATTGATTGTTCTGATTTGCATAATATTTGCAAGCAATTTTTATAATAAAATTTGGAAGCAAACATTACTATCCTGAAAAATGTGGGTGTTGCATGTGCATTTCTTTTAATGGATGAAGCCTTACTAAGTACGATCACCTGTTTTTTAGGGAAGTAAGGCCCTTGGATTTCCTTCTGACACGCTAGCACATGGTTCTACTCATTTTCCTGCCTACAGCCATGTTTCAGTTGTTTTGATGCAAAAGTCCCTTTCACCATTTTTTGGGCACAGGTAACCCCAGAAAAAAAATCGCTGTAAAATTACAGAACACATCAAACTTTCTCGAAAGCCGTCAGTGAACAGCCCACTTGTGCAAGAAATGCAAGAATCAGTCTGATCTTGTGCGAAAACCTGCCAGCCAATATCAAGGCTTTTATTACACAAGGCCGACCAATCGGCCTAGCCTTCCTTCTGGTTTTGTATTAGGATGATATTTTGGCCTCGTCGTCTCTCGGGGTTAATTAAATTGAAAAGATAAATTATTTAGCTGATTGGATTGCAAATGTAATTTTTTAATCAGCTGAACGATTTAATAGATTAGCTTTCTTTGAATTGTGACGTTTGCTGTGCATTGAAATGTTTTTTCTAAAGAAAAAAGTAAATCATAACCTGTGTGGTCCTTTAAAGGTCAGCAGTGATGAACCGGAGGCCCGGGTATTGTATAGATTTAAAAAAAAAATGCAGGCCACGATCATGATTCTATAGTCAGCCCGCTATCGAAGAATCGTAAATAATCATGTATCGGCTCCTTGCATGGCAGGCTGCATGGTTACTCATGTTCTGCCCCTGCCTGAGGACTGGTTGGCATACATGCTTTGGGCAGGCCTGCTTGGGAAAAGGGGGGGGTGTCGACATATGTTGATGAAAATGATTTAGGCTGTTCAGTGTCCCATGAAATATAAAACTAACAGGAAAGGGGAAAAGTCAGATGTATCTTCAGATGAAAGGCACACATTTGGCAGCTCTGACATTGAATTTTGCCCCAGTAATAAACCCAGAAAGTTTAAAAATAACAAGGGTTCAATTCCATTGGTGGGTGGTTTAGGGAGAAACCGTTACTATGGCTTTCACGTAGTGGCACAAGAGTTGTATCTGTAGGCGTCAGAAGCCAAGGGCTAAGGCACCTTGAGACCCCCTCAAATACATTTTAGGGAGCAGACACCTCCCTCCCCCATAAATCAATGTTCTCTGTAGCAGTTGATTATGCATTAAATGTTTCAAATATATTATTTCTGTTTTTAATTTAGCTCATAATAATAAAAGTAATTATTGCTATTATTATTATTCCTCTTATGGCTTCCAGGGCCCCATTAGGGGGTAACAAGACTGGACCCACTGCCTCCCCAACAATCGTGACATAGGTCAACTAACTGGGAGCTTTCTTCGATGTCGGAGTGCATCTGCCTGAGAGGCAAGGAATGAACAGTCTGCATACAAATAAGTCGTGTAAAACAGATGTTTACGAAACACTCAGGTTCTGGAGCAAGACTAAAGTCCAGAGGTGGACGAACAACTAGAAGTTCCCCCTCAGTTACAGCTGATGAATGCGAAGAAGAAGAAACTAGTATTATTGCACAGGTGAACAAGTTTCACTCTTTTAGTCCCAGGAGGTTTAGCATCACAGGCCCAAAAGGTGCTCAAGAGAGACAAAATCGGCACATTGTAAGTTCATTGGGTTTCTAGGTAGATTAGAGTTGAATTTCAAGAACTGACATCATAGCATTCAGGGCATTCCCATATGTGCTCCGTCCCCATCTTCAGCAGCTATTGTAGAGTTCCAGCTCCGATGGTACCAGTATGTAGGAACCTGTGAAGGTATGATGCGTTCCATGGGACTAAACGAGTTAAGCCTGATCTCACCGTTAAAGATGTATGGGCCTCAGCACAGAACATTTGCCTAGTTAGCAGTGGATACATTGTTGCCAATCTTTATAGTGGGTGAGGCACCATTTGTATGTGATTAAATACAATACTTGATAGTTTAGTATGTCTTCATTGACATAATTGGTTCCCTCATCAGCATATATGGTATTGCCTATTTTCTTTATCAGACTCCAGAGGTGGGCTCTCACTGTAGACATGGAAGGGGGGGGGGGGGGGAGGCATCAAAAAAAGAGAATGGCAAATGAGAACTTAAAATGAAAACATCAAGAAATGAAAAGGACTAAGTTATCATACACATATTCAGCAAGCATAAAACAGCAAGATGATGGATTTTTTGTGTTAGTGCTTCCATCCATACACCTGCACGACCCTAATGGGTCAAGGTTATATTATGTTATATACCAAAGTGTGTGATAGTTTGGAAGGGACATTTCTTGTTGATTATACTTTGTGCATGGTTTCAGTTTTGCAGTGTGAATTATTTTTAATTAAAATGGTTATGAATATAATTTTTCTGTCCACCAGACACGATGAATATCAGTACCTAGATGCCATAAAGGAAATCCTAGATCATGGCTGCCTGCGGGGAAACAGAACAGGGGTTGACACGAAGTCTGTTTTTGGCATGCAGATGAGATACAGTTTACGAGAATGTAAGTTCAATCTGGCAGTATTCTGCAGTTGTAAAAGTTTGGTTTTTTTATTTATAAATGCAACCCAGCATCTTGATCCTATTTTGCCAAGCCTCTTCATCTCCTTCTGCCAAAGCCTTTTGTTCACCTGCTACCAAAACACTTTGATCACCTCCTACCAAGCCCTTTGATCACCTCCTGCCAAGCCACTCAGTCACTTCTGCTAACCCCCCTGAACTCCTCCTGCCAAGCTCTTTGTCGACTTAATGTATAATTAAATTGTGCAGCTGAAGTGTTCTGTGGAATGAGGTAGCTAGACTTATTGCAATCCTTCATATTTGCCTTTTAGGACATACATGGAGATGACAGTGTTCTGTTTGCTGCCCTTGTGTCACATAGGCCATATTTTGGATTTCTTCTTTTGTCAATATCTGCTTATGTCACAGCTCATCAGAGCCAGGGCTCGTTCGGTTGCTTGACCTTATGCAGTTTCAGGGTGTCAGTGACTCCTTCAATCCATTGTCTTCTCGGTCTTCCTCTGCCTCTTGGTGTTTTGATTTTCAGGTTGTACGATCTTGCTGTTGGCATCGTTGGTTTCATTCTCATTAGATCGCCAAACCATTTCATTTTATGTTTCTCAATAAATTGGACAATGGGTGTTGTTCCAACAGTTCTTGTGATCACATCGTTTCTCACTCGATCTCTTCTGGTTTTATTCACAGCCATTCTCAAACATCTCATCTCGCAGGTGGTACATTTTCTCATGTGTTCTTTTTTCAGTGTCCAAGTCTGACACTGGTAATGTAAAGTCAGTATAAATATTGTATTAAAATTTGTCGTTGTCTCTGTTTGGATAACAGGGTGTTTTAAAATTGGAACAAGATGGTACGTGATATTGTTGGCTTGTTGGATTATAGTTTCTCTCTCTATTTTACCATTGAATGTAAAGATGCTTTCTTAGTATTTAGATTCTTACACTTGTTTCAGACTTTGATCTTTATGTCTGTCGATGGTTTGTTGCTCTCTACTTATTCTCATGACTTCTGTTTTTTTCAGCATTGATGTTCATTCTATGTTTAAGGCAACTGTCGTATAATTGGTTTATGTGGTCCTGCAGCTGTTTACTTTAACTGTGGAATATGCACTGCTCATCGGCAAAGAGCAGCTCATTGAAGTCCTCCTGTTTATCGTCATTTGATATTAGATATGAATTAATTCATTCCCCCTGTGTGGGTTTTATGGCCAGTTAGGGTGGTTGGAGGATGGGGGGGGGGGGGGGGGGAGTGGAGGAATCACTGCCTCCAAACAAGCCTTGTAAAAGTCAACTTTTAAAGTCAGTGCATCTGCCTGAGAGACAAGAAACCAACAGTCTGCATACAATGTAAAACAGATATGCATAAAAACTCAGTTTCTGGAACAAGAAGTGGACGAACAACCAAGACTTAATACTGTTTACGGCTGATGAATGTGAAAAAAAAAGTAATAATGCATTCTGTACATGACGACTGGTGTGGGAGTGAAAATTACTGTTGTTGTTCCCAGGATATTTATTCCAGTGTGATATATGCTTATGAGTTTTCTAGGAGCTGTCTAGGAAGTAAAGGCAGTGCAGAACTGAGACAAGCCACCTACCTCATGCCATACTTGAGAGTAGTTGGAGAACCTTTGAAGTCAGTCAGCCCTTCACAGAACATCGCTCTCATCCCGTCATGCCTGAAAGTCTGCTCTCGTCACCTCATGCCAGAAAGTCTGCCACGCTTGGCAGAACTTAAATGGAAAACCCTCACATTACCTGACCACGCTTGGCAGAACTTTAATGGAAAGCCCTTTCACTACCTGACCACGCTTGGCAGAACTTTAATGGAAAGCCCTTACACTACCTGACCACGCTTGGCAGAACTTTAATGGCAAACCCTCACATTATCTGACCACGCTTAGCAGAACTTTAATGGAAAAACCTCACACTACCTGACCACGCTTGGCAGAACATTAATGGAAAACCCTAACATTACCTGACCACGCTTGGCAGAACTTTAATGGCAAACCCTCACATTATCTGACCACGCTTGGCAGATCTTTAATGGAAAACCCTCACATTATCTGGCAGAACTCATATCTGAAATCTGTAAGAAGTGATGTGGATGCTGACAATTCCAGGAACTGGTGCATCCATTAAATGCTGGCCCTACATGTTACAAACTTTGGAAATAACTGCCTTAAATATGGCCGCAGGTAAGCAGTTGATACATAGGTCTACAGCTCAGCATGTGATAATATATGTGACTAATTTGTATTGCAGCCTTTCCACTACTGACCACAAAACGAGTGTTTTGGAGAGGCATTCTGGAAGAGTTGCTGTGGTTCATACGCGGGTCAACGAATGGTCATGAACTGTCGGAGAAAGAAGTCCATATTTGGGATGCAAATGGATCTCGTGAGTTTCTGGACAGTCGAGGTCTTTGTGACAGAGAAGAAGGTCAGTTTATAGACAACCACGTTTAAACTACTGCTCAACAACTGTGTACCACACATTCCATATACAGGAGTACCTCACATCACGAAATCATTGGCCCGCCAACACAATGTGTATTCCACTTGCAAACAGTACCTCTGCATGAATGCACAAACATGACTTTAGTGTCATGTTTTCAGATTATGATCAGCAGTTATATTAATGTTTGCTAGCTGTCATCATTGTTTGTTGCGTTCTTGATATAATTTGTTTCATTAAATTAACTCTCCTTGTGGCTCTTAAGAAATAGAAAGTGTTAGTGGCAGTAGTCACAAGAAGCCTAAGCGTATTACAGGAGACGAAGAAGGAAATAACTAAACAAAAGAATAATGTTCATGAACTTTAATATTTGCAACATGAACAGATACAAGTTATACAAGAGGAGCACTCTGGACGAAGAAAAGGTTGCACATGTTTCAAGTGCTGAGTTCAAAGAAATTTGTAGCAAGTGAAGTCAGGTGCAGGTTTTCATTGGGAAGCATCTTTTAAAAAAACAACACCAGATCAATGGACAGTGTGATGTCTGTGTTCGGAATATTATCCAACAAAGTTAACTCTTTGAGTCCCAAGGAACGCATCATACATTAATGGCTTCCTATCTAGAAGCCCAGTGAACGCACGATGCGCCGATTTTATGACTTTATTTACTACCCCCAGGGCCTGTGCTGCTAAACCCCCTGGGACTCAAAGAGATAAAGACATTCTTTATTTTGTGAAAACACCAGCCACTGAGCTAGCAATGGAACCAATTCCTAGGGTAAAAACAAGAGAGAAAACACCAGCCACTGAGCTAGCAATGGAACCAATTCCTAGCGTAAAAACAAGAGAGAAAACACCAGCCACTGAGCTAGCAATGGAACCAATTCCTAGCGTAAAAACAAGAGAGAAAACACACCAGAAATATCTGCACAGTTGCCTGCTGTTCTTTTGCAATGGGACTCCTATTTGGTGTAGTCTTCCTCCTGCTCTGCCATATCTTTGCCAGCAACTATCAACCACACAGGTGTGCTGTGTATTTTATATTTTTGTCGCACAAATTCATTATAAAGAAGGTTTAAAATTTTTTTTTTTCGGGGGCTAATGGATTTATTGGATTTGCATTAATCTCAATGGGAAAAATTGGTTCCTTCGCTAAAGGAATCAGAGAATGAATTGAGCGTGAACTCGAGGTACCACCGAATGTATAAAAAAAATTACTTCCAAATAAACAGAGGAGGACTTGTAAAGTTGCCTGCATAGCCATCTTTATGTTGCCAGGACCTGTAAGGGAAGCAAAGTACAGTAACACTTTCTGCAAAACCTAAGAGGCAACTATGGAAACCTAGCATGAGACTAGCTACCTCATCCTGTAAAAAACTGGCTGTAAAATCAAAAGCAGTCAAGAACAAGTGTGGCTTCCAATGTTCCTTGGGGGGGGGGGGGGGGGGGGTGTTTCAAAAGGCAAATAATGTTTTTTTCCCTTCTGAATCAGGGTGCATTTACCTGTAAGGCAAGGAACTAACAGTCTGCATACACATAAGCCAGATCTGTAAAAAGGATTTGCATTTAAAAATCAAGTTCTGTATCAAGATCAAAGTCCAGGAGTGGACGAACAACCCAAACTTTCTACTGGAGTTTACAGCCAGTAAATGCGAAGAAGAAGAAGAAGAATGCTAACCTGTACAAACGACACCTGATGTCCTGAAATGAAGAAATGAGAAAGTGACCAAAAATCCTCTCAGGTGCTAAAATGCTGGATTTGTCATTTCAGGAGACCTTGGACCAGTGTATGGCTTCCAGTGGCGACATTTTGGAGCTGAGTATACAAACATGCATGCTGACTACACAGGGCTGGGCGTGGATCAGCTGAGGACTGTCATCGAGAAGATCAAGAATGCTCCAAATGATCGTACTATTGTCATGTGTGCTTGGAATCCAAAAGGTATGTTTATGTGTCTTTTTCTTCTTCTTCTCCTTGTGTGGAATAGTAGAATAAAGGAAATGTTCCTGACTAAAGTGCCAAAGATCTGGCTATGACTGCTACAGAACAGATGAGGGACATAACATACATTAGCAGGAAGACTAATTGTCTGTGGTATATTTGAAGTAACCATATTTTCCTATGACAGAGTGAACCAACATTTTCCATACGAATAAGCCAGATCTGCAAAACTCAGGTTCTGCAACAAGATTAAAGTTCAAAAGTGGATGAACAACCAGAACTTTCCACTGGGGTGTACAGCTGGTGAATTCAAAGGAAAAAAACCATAGATCACACAGCACCAATATGGAGCTGTCATTGTGTCACACGCAAACATAATTTGTTGGTTTCAATGTGCTGCATTTTGTTCTGTTCCTTACTGACATTGGATGCCATGTGTAAGCTCTAGTATGGCACTTGTCCATCCTTTATGACACACTGCCAGCATCTATAATCTGGTTTCCTCCTCGCAAGGAGAATGAAATCATGTACTTCTGAAATAATTTTAATGTTGCATATTTTCAGATTTGCCACAAATGGCTCTGCCACCCTGCCACTGTCTTGTTCAGTTCTATGTGGCTGATGGAGAATTGTCTTGCCAGTTGTACCAGAGATCAGCAGACATGGTAAGTTTAAGCAATGCTGTCATGGATGATGGGCTTGTACAGTTTGTCTTTATGTAAGAGTTCCGCTATGGATGATTAGCTTGTGAAGGTTATCTTTTTGTAAGTACAAGTTCCGTCATAGATGATTGGTTTGTAAGGGTTATCTTTCTGTAAGTATGAGTTTCGTCATGGATGATTGGTTTGTAAGGGTTATCTTTCTGTAAGTATGAGTTCCATCATGGATGAGTGACTTGTAAGGTTTATCTTTCTGTAAGTATGAGTTTTGTCATGGATGATTGGCTTGTAAAGGTTATCTTTCTGTAAGTATGAGTTCCGTCATGGATGATTGGCTTGTAAAGGTTATCTTTCTGTAAGAACGAGTTCCATCATGGATGATTGGTTTGTAAGGGTTATCTTTCTGTAAGTACAAGTTCCATCATGGATGATTGGCTTATAAAGGTTATCTTTCTGTAAGTATGAGTTCTATCATGGATGATTGGCTTGTAAATGTTATCTTTCTGTAAGTATGAGTTCTATTATGGATGACTGGCTTGTGAAGGTTATCTTTTTGTAAGTACAAATTCTTTCATGGATGACTAGCTTGTGAGGGTTGTAATTTTACCCTGTGTGGGTTTCTGGACTCCATTTTGGCACACGCAGATATAGACCCACTGCCCTACCCCTACAAGCATGTTGTAGCAGGTGGCTAATGAGGCGTGTTTCCTTCAAAGAGTCAAGAGTGTCTGCACGAGAGGAAAGGCACCTACAGTCTGCAGACAAATAAGCCAGATTTGTAAAATGGATGTGCATGCAAAGCTCAAGTTTCAGATCAAATCTGAAGTCGAGGAGTGGATGAACAACCAGAACCTTCCGCTGGAGTTTACAGCCACTGTGAAGCCTACTAACGCCTGCCAAATACTCACACTGGCAGTGTTTCCAGACATGAATGAAACACTGTGCAATCTAAGTAATTATATAGGTGACTGCTATGGCCGACTCTCACCCAAAACACAGATAACACCTGTGTGATGTGCAGTGATGATCCTCTGACGGTTTCCTAACCAAAAGAGCCTGCCACCCGAGGGCCCAAGATGCACCACTTGGTGAGAAAAATCTAGACTTCCAGTCTGCTACCCAGTCTCTCATTGAAGTATCACTGATCAACCTCTAGTTTGCTACCCAGTCTCATTGAAGTATCACTGATCAACCTCTAGTTTGCTACCCAGTCTCTCATTGAAGCATTACTGAGGGCCTATGCTCCATTAGGGGTTAGAAGGCAGAAGAAGACTATTTATTATAGAATATGGAAGACTTGAGGTACAACACCTTAGAGTAGAAGACACTTCATGGAATTCTTCTTCTTCTGAGGTATTAGAGTTAAGGTTGAAGTGCAAATACACTCTAGGGAAGAACAGGAAAGACTTGTGCCGCTAAATCTTAAGGTAGAAAAGGGAAAAACTATGAAAGATGCACAATCTCAGGTGTAGGGAGAGAATTATCTCAACCATTTCTGTGTTTTCAGGGACTGGGCGTGCCATTTAATATAGCCAGCTATGCTCTCCTGACCTGCATGATTGCCCATGTGACAGGACTTCAGGTCAGTTGTTGTTGTCTGCATGATTGCCCATATGATAGCACTTCAGGTCAGTTGTTATTGTCTGCATGATTGCCCATGTGACAGCACTTCAGATCAGTTGTTGTTGTCTGCATGATTGCCCATGTGACAGCACTTCAGGTCAGTTGTTATTGTCTGCATGATTGCCCATGTGACAACACTTGAGGTCAGTTGTTATTGTCTGCATGATTGCCATGTGACAGCACTTCAGGTCAGTTGTTATTGTCTGCATGATTGCCCATGTGACAGCACTTCAGGTCAGTTGTTATTGTCTGCATGATTGCCCATGTGACAGGACTTCAGGTCAGTTATTATCTGCATGATTGCCCGTGTGACAGCACTTCAGGTCAGTTGTTATTGTCTGCATGATTGCCCATGTGACAGCACTTCAGGTCAGTTGTTGTTGTCTGCATGATTGCCATGTGACAGCACTTCAGGTCAGTTGTTGGTGTCTGCATGATTGCCCATGTGACAGCACTTCAGGTCACTTGTTATTGTCTGCATGATTGCCCATGTGACATGACTTCAGGTCACTTGTTATTGTCTGCATGATTGCCCATGTGACAACACTTCAGGTCAGTTGTTATTGTCTGCATGATTGCCCATGTGACAGCACTTCAGGTCAGTTGTTGTTGTCTGCATGATTGCCCATGTGACAACACTTCAGGTCAGTTGTTATTGTCTGCATGATTGCCCATGTGACAACACTTCAGGTCAGTTGTTGTTGTCTGCATGATTGCCCATGTGACAACACTTCAGGTCAGTTGTTGTTGTCTGCATGATTGCCCATGTGACAGGACTTCAGGTCAGTTGTTGTTGTCTGCATGATTGCCCATGTGACAGGACTTCAGGTCAGTTGTTGTTGTCTGCATGATTGCCCATGTGACAGCACTTCAGGTCAGTTGTTATTGTCTGCATGATTGCCCATGTGTCCATCAGCTTCTTGCTGTTCATCTCTTCTCTATATCATGTCCACCAGCTTCCAACTGTTCATCTCTTCTCTATATCATGTCCACCAGCTTCCAACTGTTCATCTCTTCTCTATATCATGTCCACCAGCTTCCAACTGTTCATCTCTTCTCTATATCATGTCCACCAGCTTCCAACTGTTCATCTCTTCTCTATATCATGTCCATCAGCTTCCAACTGTTCATCTCTTCTCTATATCATGTCCATCAGCTTCCAACTGTTCATCTCTTCTCTATATCATGTCTATCAGCTTCTCGCTGTTCATCTCTTCTCTATATCATGTCCATCAGCTTCCAACTGTTCATCTCTTCTCTGTATCATGTCCATCAGCTTCCAACTGTTCATCTCTTCTCTATATCATGTCCACCAGCTTCCAACTGTTCATCTCTTCTCTATATCATGTCCATCAGCTTCCCACTGTTCATCTCTTCTCTATATCATGTCTATCAGCTTCTCGCTGTTCATCTCTTCTCTATATCATGTCCATCAGCTTCTCGCTGTTCATCTCTTCTCTACATCATGTCCACCAGCTTCTCACTGTTCATCTCTTCTCTATATCATTTCCATCAGCTTCTCACTGTTCATCTCTTCTCTACATCATGTCCATCAGCTTCCCACTGTTCATCTCTTCTCTATATCATGTCCATCAGCTTCCCGCTGTTCATCTCTTCTCTATATCATGTCTATCAGCTTCTCGCTGTTCATCTCTTCTCTATATCATGTCCACCAGCTTCTCACTGTTCATCTCTTCTCTATATCATTTCCATCAGCTTCTCACTGTTCATCTCCTCTCTACATCATGTCCATCAGCTTCTCACTGTTCATCTCTTCTCTACATCATGTCCATCAGCTTCCCACTGTTCATCTCTTCTCTATATCATGTCCATCAGCTTCCCGCTGTTCATCTCTTCTCTATATCATGTCTATCAGCTTCTCGCTGTTCATCTCTTCTCTATATCATGTCCACCAGCTTCTCACTGTTCATCTCTTCTCTATATCATTTCCATCAGCTTCTCACTGTTCATCTCTTCTCTACATCATGTCCATCAGCTTCCCACTGTTCATCTCTTCTCTATATCATGTCCATCAGCTTCCCACTGTTCATCTCTTCTCTATATCATGTCCATCAGCTTCCCGCTGTTCATCTCTTCTCTATATCATGTCCATCAGCTTCTCGCTGTTCATCTCTTCTCTACATCATGTCCACCAGCTTCCCACTGTTCATCTCTTCTCTATATCATGTCCACCAGCTTCCTATTGTTCATCTCTTCTCTATATCATGTCCATCAGCTTCCCACTGTTCATCTCTTCTCTATATCATGTCCATGAGCTTCCAACTGTTCATCTCTTCTCTATATCATGTCCATGAGCTTCCAACTGTTTATCTCTTCTCTATATCATGTCCATCAGCTTCCCACTGTTCATCTCTTCTCTATATCATGTCCATCAGCTTCCCACTGTTCATCTCTTCTCTATATCATGTCCACCAGCTTCCCACTGTTCATCTCTTCTCTATATCATGTCCACCAGCTTCCAACTGTTCATCTCTTCTCTATATCATGTCCATCAGCTTCCCACTGTTCATCTCTTCTCTATATCATGTCCATCAGCTTCCCACTGTTCATCTCTTCTCTACATCATGTCCACCAGCTTCCCACTGTTCATCTCTTCTCTACATCATGTCCATCAGCTTCCCACTGTTCATCTCTTCTCTATATCATGTCCATCAGCTTTAAATTGTTCCCATCTGTTTTCTATGTATCCTGTTGCTAGTAGTCAGATAGAGCATCTGAGCACAGAGACATTGGTTACAGTGAAGACTGGGTTGTTAGAGCATCTGAGCACAGAGACATTGGTTACAGTGAAGACTGGGTTGTTAGAGCATCTGAGCACAGAGACACTGGTTACAGTGAAGACTGGGTTGTTAGAGCATCTGAGCACAGAGACATTGGTTACAGTGAAGACTGGGTTGTTAGAGCATCTGAGCACAGAGACATTGGTTACAGTGAAGACTGGGTTGTTAGAGCATCTGAGCACAGAGACATTGGTTACAGTGAAGACTGGGTTGTTAGAGCATCTGAGCACAGAGACATTGGTTACAGTGAAGACTGGATTGTTAGAGCATCTGAGCACAGAGACATTGGTTACAGTGAAGACTGGGTTGTTAGAGCATCTGAGCACAGAGACATTGGTAACAGTGAAGACTGGGTTGTTAGAGCATCTGAGCACAGAGACATTGGTTACAGTGTAGACTGGGTTGTTAGAGCATCTGAGCACAGAGACATTGGTTACAGTGTAGACTGGGTTGTTAGAGCATCTGAGCACAGAGACAATGGTTACAGTGAAGACTGGGTTGTAAGAGCATCTGAGCACAGAGACAATGGTTACAGTGTAGACTGGGTTGTTAGAGCACCTGAGCACAGAGACATTGGTTACAGTGAAGACTGGGTTGTTAGAGCATCTGAGCACAGAGACAATGGTTACAGTGAAGACTGGGTTGTAAGAGCATCTGAGCACAGAGACATTGGTTACAGTGAAGACTGGGTTGTTAGAGCATCTGAGCACAGAGACATTGGTTACAGTGAAGACTGGGTTGTTAGAGCATCTGAGCACAGAGACATTGGTTACAGTGAAGACTGGGTTGTTCGAGCATCTGAGCACAGAGACATTGGTTACAGTGAAGACTGGGTCGTAAGAGCAGTGATTTTAGTCCTGGGTGTGAGAGAAAGTTAAGGTAATTGAAATTTGAGGAAATACTCCGTACCTGACCCTGGGCGACAGCAGGCTGTCTGCTAGTGTTGCGGATCCTCTTGCAAGACTTCTGACACATGTCCTTCTGGTGGGCTTCAAGATAATGGCTTTTATCAGTGTGACAAACCCAAGGATAATTTCAGTCCGGCAAGAGTTAATTGCAAGTTTTAGTTAAAAGAATTGCGCACGTAAAATAAATCTATTTAAACATAGATGCTTAAAGAATAAAAAGGTACGAAGGCGCACATAATTTATGACGTTTTGTGGTGTTACTAGGAGATCTAATTTCGTCACAACACAGAACGATTGCCAGCCATACCATCGGCCTAACACCCACAATAATAATACCATATACGAGTTCAGGTGAGATTTATAATGGTAGGGAGTAGCTGAGATCCCCTATAAGCCTTAGCTGTATCCTAAAATATGTTATTGAGATCCTACTATTCTATATTCTACCATTGTATAAATAGTCCGTGACTTCATCAACCTTGATACTTGTCCGTTGGACAATTCACTAGTCCTTACATATTATGACGTTCTCAAAGTTACTATTCCCCGTTAGGACTATTCAATAGCGAACCCTTCTTCCCTCTGTCACTCTTATATTCATTCGGTCTACTTGCGTAAAGATCTTATAGTAAAAACCATTATCCTGTGCCATGTGGTATCATCAGTCGGGTATACATTACATTGCTTATGTTTATTATATTATGCAACATATAATTTGAGTAAAAGTCGTCAACTTTGTGGGCATATCGGGTTGGCCTATGTTTTATAGACCAAGTGGTACCTAGGTGTTGATGTGGTCAACGTCACACCTGCCGCCTTTACTTCCCATTACTATACCTGGTGTCCGTTAAGGCGAAGTCGACCTGGGTTTTGAGACTCGAACTAATAATTGTCCAATCCGCAGGCGAATGTGTGTCCGCTTAATTATGTCAAGTTTTATATGATCGTGCCATAAATTAGATAGGTATAAACCAACATATTATAATAGGGTGGAGATGTATAATTTTGATTTACTTGTAGAGAAAGACAACATATGAACCTTGATCTTTCTTTCTTTTAACTCTGACAAACACCACAGACACCGCAACACCTCCACCTGCTCCAGATGTGTCGACATAATGCTCAACACAGGGCTGAATGATGTATTCCGCAGGTTCCCGTGTTACCGTAGTCCTGCCTGCCTGTTTACCAGAGGACCATAATCCCGTGTTACCGTAGTCCTGCCTGCCTGTTTACCAGAGGACCAAAATCCCGTGTTACCGTAGTCCTGCCTGCCTGTTTACCAGAGGACCATAATCCTGAGTTACCGTAGTCCTGCCTGCCTGTTTACCAGAGGACCATAATCCCGTGTTACCGTATTCTTGCCTGCCGGGTTACCAGAGGACCTTAATTCCGTATTTCGGTTGGCCTGTTTGCCTAGTTGCTTGGAGAACGTGAACCATATTCATAATTGACGGGTTATCAGTGGACTTTCCTCCAAAGGAAACTACATTTCGGCTCATCAATACTATCGGAAAGCTGAGTGAAATTTGATGTTTGTTCAGAGTTTTGTGGTGTACATGATGACACCGTGATTTATTTTCTCTGTGTTAATTTGAAAATTGTTGAATTCAATATCAGTATTTTATCAATACAGTTGTTATTTAAAAACTCCATTTATCGATTTCATCCTATCAATTTTAACTTCTTAGGTAAACTAAAGATTGTTCATTGCAATTTATCTGAGTTAAATTTACAAAGTTTTGACTTTGGTTGTTTTCTGGATTTCTTTAGGAAATTTCCGGGGATTCACCCTATTCTTTAACTTTCTGTATTCTCCTTCCTCTATTTTCCAGAACTCAGGGACCGTTATAATTCCCCTAGACTTATTTAATTCGAGCCCCTGTAAGTTATTTGGAAGGATATAGGGGATCTCCAGGCGACGATAGATTCCGCCAACAATAGTTGATTACAATCAGCAACAAATATTGAAGCTATGCTGTAATTAGGTACCACGCATGTATGTCACTTAGACATGATTAAGAAACACAAGACTCGATTATGAGGCAGACAAAACTTAGTTTGATTTTACAGTGCCTCTAGCTGGCATTGATCTGTACCAGCTCAAAGACCACCATACCCCCAGAGATCAAACCTGGCCACTTGAAGCAATAGCTGCAGATTTGTTTCCAACCAGTAGCCCATTTTCCACCTGATTCTTTTCCTGTCTTGTTTCTGTTTTACGTGTCAACATTATTTTATTGTTTTCAGCCAGGAGATTTTGTGCACTCCCTGGGTGATGCCCATGTGTACGTGAACCACGAGGCACCTCTAAGGGAACAGGTCAGTTTTTAAAGATGTTGCTTTCTCACTTCAGTGTAATACATTAGTCCTGGGTTCGACATAAGCCATGCTAAACATCAGGTCATGTCTGTGTTGGAATCAGGATGGTGTGTCTAAGGTCACTGCTGGTGGCCCACAGCTTCTATTGGGCCATATGGATAACAATACATTAGTATGAGTGGCCTGCAAAAAAAGATATGAACTATATGGGGACTAGACTGGGATGAGTCTGGTACTTAAAAGAACCACAATATGTTAGTTATAGCCAGGGTCAAGGCACTTAAAGATGGTGACATTTCAGCACACTTTACATTAAACATAAGTTAATTAGCAGGTTTCCAAATAGGGAAAAACATGGAACATAACTTATATTTAATGTACCTAATAAAACAGTATTGGGGACAGTACTGTCACAACTGTGATGCAGAAGTTCAAGCCATCAAAATAGCAGCAGAAAAACTTGAATATATGTCACATTTCACAACCCATGGTATTTCTGACAGATGCAAAAGCGGTGCTTCAGGCACTCCAGTCTGGAAAACTACCTGGTATACGAACAATACTCTCCAAACTAAGCAGTCGGTGTAAGGTATCTATGCAACAGATACCATCTCGCTGTGGAGTTTCCGGAAATAAAAGAGCTGATAAACTAGCTAATGAAGGTGCAAATGAAAAACTGCCTGATGTACGAGTCTCTTTTCAGCGAAAGAAGAGAATAATCAAATCAGCCAGAAAGCCACCAAAACTGGCACAAGACGATGATCACTGAACACAATCGACTTGGCAGCCACATGTGCACAAAGTTTAAAATCAACTGATCAGCCATGTGCACGTGTGGATTGGCACCTGAGACAACAGATCATGTCCTCTAAGACTGTCCCAAATACAACATATCAAGGCAAAACTTTTGGCCAAGAGAAACAAAGGTGCAAGTCAAACTTTACCGCTTGCTGGGTGAATTACAAAAGACAGTGAAGTTCATACGAAACAACATTGCAGATATAGATAAAATCTATTTCAAGCGAACAAAAAAAGAAGTAGTATTGGGGAATATGAGGACAAGAATGCATACATGAGAAATTGTTTAAATTTAAATGATGATAATTAGAGTAAAAGATGAATATTTATTTAAAAAAAAAAGAAATTGAAAGATTACTAAAATACTTGATGAAATTTGTTAAGATAAAAATCAAAAAATAAAATAGCTGTTCCTCTAGAATAGTAATTTAATGTGTGGACTGAAGAAAAAGAAAACGCAGAGTAAAAAGTTAGATGCAGACAATATTTGAAAGACTAGTCGTAAACATGGGATGCCAGGGATTGTCTTGTGATGGCAGCAATTGGAATTGTCGTGTGATGGTAGGAATTGGAATTGTTGTGTGATGGTAGGAATTGCAATTGCCGTGTGATGGTAGGAATTGGAATTGTCGTGTGATGGTAGGTGTGGCATAAGATGGTAGGGGGTTAAGTGGCTAAAGAAGATGCTACTTGTCATTTACTGAGAGTGTAAGTTTGAAGTTTGAACAACAGATCAACATCATGGTACACGAGTAGTTACCCATAAGTGCTCCATTCTATTTCTAACTCGACTTCAAGTCTAAGTCCGAAGTAGTTCAGCACAGTGCACGAGCTCCTTAGCACCGGCGAGGATGCTGAAATATTTTATGTAGATTTTAAACTCCAAATTTAGAGCGGGCAGCGCCGTTAGGCTGCTCTTTTCGATTTCCAACTGCCAAAGGATTTTTTTATGTGCCCAACAATTCACACTGGCGTCCGATCTCACTACCCAGAGACCAGGGAAAATTACTAGAAGTCCACGTGAACAGAAAAAACCACAGCCTTCACCGGGGCCTGAATCACACTAGGTGAACTTGGTACCTCGAGACCACGCAGCCCTATGAGAGTAAATAACAATATGGCTAGTTATCCAAAACTCTTCACTTGTTGACCTAAGAGATGCTTCACTGGGATCTGACCCCTTAGTTCTTATAACTGTGCCATATATTTCACTTCATGTTTTTCACAGTGTACATGGTATGTAGGTCACTGCAAATGCAACTTAACTATATATATTTTTTTCTTCTCTAAATCTTTACCAGCTTGGGCGCGATCCACGGCCATTTCCTCATTTGGTTATCAAGCGAGATGTCAAGGACATTGAAGACTTTAAAGTTGATGACTTTGAGATTACAGACTACAACCCACATCCGAAAATCAAGATGGATATGGCTGTGTAACTGAAAGACAAAACTACGGTCTGTTTTCAGATATATTTTGTCTGATTCTTGATTGAATAATTGACACAGATTTTTGCTGCCCAGTTTTGACATTTCTTACAGAAGAGAACATGCCCAAAAAAAAAATATTAAGAAAATTAGGGAACAAAGATTGCTACATAAAATAAATTGTATTATTTATTAAGTAGGTGATTTTTCAACTACATTTTGGGAGGGGGATTGTTTTCCATTACACTAGCTTTGTAAATATTGACATTATGCTATTGTACTGCATGTCAAAATGAACTTGTGTTGTTACACACCTCAGTAAAATTGGTATAAAGTAAGTAGATGATCATGCAAGCAGATCGAGTACTGCCGACTTGCAGCGTTAATTGAGGATAATCATTTGTTGTTTGTTCTGCAGTAAGAAGAAAGAGACCTTTTTCAAGCTAGTGATGTAAGAGACTTATGAAATGTTACACTCATATTTTTTTTTAAAAGGAAATTCGGCACTCAGTGACGATGTGATTAACATACTGCTGACAACTTTTACTTCGCAGGAAATTTTAGCAATTTATTGAAATAAGAACTGAGCTGGCTGCTGAAATTTTGGATGATTGTAAACTCAACTCCACTCGATCCAGAAAATGTCTTGCACCAATTTTAGGCTGGCTCGATTTGGGAGCCAAAGTCAGTTATAAATCTTCCTGATGAACAGCCAGCAGGTGGACAAGTGTCTAGCTCCTGCATGGCTGATCTACTCCCAAACAAACATGAGATAAAAACATGCTCAGACTGACATGTCTGATGTTGGGCAACAGATTGCTGTAGAATGTCTTTGCTTACAATATTACCAGTTTTATCGCCAGGGTTGTTGCACAGAAAGTAAGGTACCACCACATAGGTGTTCAACTTTGTACAAACAAAAATTTCCTCTTCATGTAATGTGTAATCTGTTGTACATAAAAGCTAGGTTTGTTGTATTTAATGTGTTTTATATGGTTAATTGGTGATCTCTCTCTTTTAAAGTTTCAATTCTTAAACCTGATACATAAGTAGTCATGTTTTGTGAGCATTGAAACAGACTTGAGGTCTGAGTAGGCCCATCTCTGTGGGGGAACTGTGTTGTAGAGCTTCAAGAAGGTGCAAGGTATGGGGACAACTATTGGTGCTGAACTTCTCGTCTGGAGTGAAGCATGCTACAATGCAACCTGGACGTATTTTAGTGCAGCATCAATTGCGTTGGGACTGAGTCTAGACTAGACATGTTTCAGTGCAGCATCAAGTCCACCTAGGACTGAGTCTAGACTGGTCATGTTTCAGTGCAGCATCAAGTGCGTTGGGACTGAGTCTAGACTGGTCATATTTCAGTGCAGCATCAAGTGCGTTGGGACTGAGTCTAGACTGGACATGTTTCAGTGCAGCATCAAGTCCACCTGGGACTGAGTCTAGACTGGTCATGTTTCAGTGCAGCATCAAGTGCGTTGGGACTGAGTCTAGACTGGACGTATTTTAGTGCAGCATCAAGTGCGTTAGGACTGAGTCTAGACTGGACATGTTTCAGTGCAGCATCAAGTGCGTTGGGACTGAGTCTAGACCGGATGTATTTTAGTGCAGCATCAAGTGCGTTGGGACTGAGTCTAGACTGGACATGTTTCAGTGCAGCATCAAGTCCACCTGGGACTGAGTCTAGACTGGTCATGTTTCAGTGCAGCATCAAGTGCGTTGGGACTGAGTCTAGACTGGACGTATTTTAGTGCAGCATCAAGTGCGTTGGGACTGAGTCTAGACTGGACATGTTTCAGTGCAGCATCAAGTGCGTTGGGACTGAGTCTAGACCGGATGTATTTTAGTGCAGCATCAAGTGCGTTGGGACTGAGTCTAGACTGGACATGTTTCAGTGCAGCATCAAATGCGTTGGGACTGAGTCTAGACTGGACATGTTTCAGTGCAGCATCAAGTGCGTTGGGACTGAGTCTAGACTGGACATGTTTCAGTGCAGCATCAAGTGCGTTGGGACTGAGTCTAGACTGGACATGTTTCAGTGCAGCATCAAGTGCGTTGGGACTGAGTCTAGACTGGACATATTTCAGTGCAGCATCAAGTGCGTTGGGACTGAGTCTAGACTGGACATGTTTCAGTGCAGCATCAAGTGCGTTGGGACTGAGTCTAGGCTGGGCATGTTCCCTCTACAGTTGGGTTGGAGTGTTCCGGTGTCAGCAGACTCTGGATTAGGGAAATTATTTAAGATAAGAAAATCATTCCTGAAATGAAAGAGTGAACAAATGCATGAAATGCTTGGCTATTGGCTGACAATGTATTTCTCTGGTAATCAACTATAAAAATGTGGGCACTCTTCCGAATAACAGTCCCTTATTATTCAAAGACAAAAAATCCCATTCAGGGCCTCAAGAGGTCGTAGTTAGGGACTTGAGAGGTCATGTAGTTAAAAATATGGAACAGGAACACTACGAACTATGCTTTCTTTTATTATATAATTTCGTTTGAATGAAATTACAGAGTCTTCGCTAGTATAGTTGATAAGCAGTCTGCTTGTTACGCCGGTGATCGGGGGGCGAATTTTTTTCTCTTTTTTTTTTATTCAAAAGGGTGGTTTGCACGTTGTGTTGTGGTTGACAACTAGGCTGCGATACCTGCGCCTTTCGCTTGGTCCTGTGGTTAACAGCTAGGTTGCGATAGCGGCGTCAAATTTTTTTTTTTAAACTTTTAAAAGGGTGGTTTGCACGTTGTGTTGTGGTTGACAACTAGGCTACGATATCTGCGCCTTTCGCTTGGTCTTGTGGTTAATAGCTAGGTTGCGATAGCGGCGACAAGATTCTCAATGGTCATGTCACGGACAGGTAAAAATTTTTTTCGTTTGCCCTTGAAATGGCGGTTGGCATGTTGTATTGTGGTTTACAAATACGCTGCTATATCTGTGCCTTTCGCTGGGTCTTGTGGTTAACAGCTAGGTTGCAATAGCGGCGACGAGATGCTCAATGGTCATCCGTATGTGTGTGACTTGGTTGTTGGAAGGGCATCATTACGTGGTTATTATTGTTACGGAAGTCGATTATTGGTTGGTTGTAAGTTGTAATAGTCCCTGGTTAAACAGATACAGCCTAATAATGACTCGTGAAATATATTGAGCTGAGTATTCTCAGGAGTAGGGAAAAGGCGTTTAGAGATCTAGATATACTTTTGGTAAGATGATGAACGATGAAGACTGCAGGTAACTTATATATTAGTTCACTAATGTTTGCATCTACTTTTCATTGAAGGAGGGAGGGGGCACAGACGTTTTAGCGCCTCAATTATTATTTCACGGCGCTTAACGGCAGCAGTGAAAACTGATGATGATGATCTTAACGTAGCTACCCAGCGCTTCAATGGATCGAAAATTATTCCTCCCCACGTCACATCAGTCGATCGAAAACTATTTCTCCCCATGGCGTTCAGTCGATCTAAAACTATTTTCCCCACTGCGCTTAACTTTAAACATTGCGCAGAAGTGAAAACTGATGATGATGGCCTCAGTTATTATTTCACGGCGCTTAACGGCGGAAGTGAAAACTGATGATGATGATCTTAACGTTGCTACCCATTGACACAGCGCTCCAATGGATCCAAAATTATTCAAATTGAAAATTATTCCTCCCCACGTCACTTCAGTGGATCGAAAACTTTTTCTCCCTACAGCGCTTAACGCGCAGATGTGGAAACTGATGATGATGGCCTCAATTATTTCACGGTATTATTGGTACGTATTGTTCCATATTTTGTATAACCTCTTTATAACCCCTTGAGGCTCTAAAAGGGATGTTTTGGACAGTCAATAATAAGGGACCGTTATTCGGAAGAGTGCCAAAATGTGTGTTCCACACGTGCATGTTTGGAACCGATGCAAAGCTGTTTTACCTTGTACTTGAGGTTGTTTGTTTACTGTGTAAATATTTATTGCTAAACCAGCATTCACTGCCTTTTTTTGGAAAATACAATTCTGTAGTAACTACTCATTGATTTGTTTCTTTAATGTTGAAATGTGTGGTTCAAATTTGCACATTTTTATAGTTATACCTCATTACATGGACAATCCATTGCATGCTATTATATTGTGTTTGGGATGATCAATTTAAAAAAAATAAAAACCTCCCTTTAGCACACGCTGTCTCCTGTGACAGATTGGTTACATGGGTCTGCTTGTGGACTGTCCTTTAGTTTTTGAGTTCAACAATTTCTGGGGGTTGTGGCTGAAGCTTCAGAGTTGTGTACAATATGCTCTTGGTGGGCCAACAGCTGCTGTGTGGCGAAAGAATGAGCCAGATGGGATAAAACATGTTCAATGAAGTCAATCCTTTCTTTAAAAGTTTTCATTTAAAAAGTGTGGTCCTCTAATAAATGAATGCAGAACCAAGATCTCACATAAGAATTGTTACCCAGGATGGCCATTGTGAAGTGACTACTCCAAGTCTTCTTACATGAGACTGTTGGGAGGACAACAACTGGTCTACTCCAAGTCTTCTTACATGAGACTGTTGGGAGGACAACAACTGGTCTACTCCAAGTCTTCTTACATGAGACAGTTGGGAGGACAACATCTGGTCTACTCCAAGTCTTCTTACATGAGACTGTTGGGAGGACAACAACTGGTCTACTCCAAGTCTTCTTACATGAGAAAGTTGGGAGGACAACAACTGGTCTACTCCAAGTCTTCTTACATGAGACAGTTGGGAGGACAACATCTGGTCTACTCCAAGCCTTCTTACATGAGACAGTTGGGAGGACAACAACTGGTCTACTCTAAGTCTTCTTACATGAGACTGTTGGGAGGACAACAACTGGTCTACTCCGAGTCTTCTTACATGAGACTGTTGGGAGGACAACAACTGGTCTACTCCAAGTCTTCTTACATGAGACTGTTGGGAGGACAACAACTGGTCTACTCCAAGTCTTCTTACATGAGACTGTTGGGAGGACAACAACTGGTCTACTCCAAGTCTTCTTACATGAGACTGTTG